ACCTATTGGCCAAAATTGGTACTAAAATGCCCACAGTGGCGCCACCTATTGGCCAAAATTGGTACTAAAATGCCCACAGTGGCGCCACCTATTGGCCAAAATTGGTACTAAAATGCCCACAGTGGCGCCACCTATTGGCCAAAATTGGTACTAAAATGCCCACAGTGGCGCCACCTATTGGCCAAAATTGGTACTAAAATGCCCACAGTGGCGCCACCTAGTGGCCAAAATTGGTACTAAAATGCCCACAGTGGCGCCACCTAGTGGCCAAAATTGGTACTAAAATGCCCACAGTGGCGCCACCTAGTGGCCAAAATTGGTACTAAAACGCCCGACAGTGGCGCCACCTAGTGCGTCAAATTGGTACTACTGCGAGCGACGGTGGCGCTCTCTAGTGTTTCAAATTGGTACTACCGCGCGCGACGGTGGCGCTTTTTAGTGTGTCAAATTGGCACTCACCGTGCGCCCAACACGTATGCTACACTTTTTCCCACATTAGCCGATGCGCTCCTGCCGGCAACTATCAAAATTACTTTATACTGCGCCTTATTGCAGTGCCTGTCGGGGGCGGTCGATGGCCTAGCAGCTTAAGCGCAAGACCACGAACCGAAAAGACCTGGGCTCGAGTCCAGGCAAAGGCAATTACAAAAAAAAAAAAAAAGATTTTTCTGAAGTAGATTAGATAGAGGGATTCGATAGTAGGGAACTGTGCATGCCCTTATACAGCTGCAGTCCAATACCCTGTCCTCATCCTAGTGTCCACATCCTCCACCCGAGTGTGTCGCCGGAGGATCAGGTGCCCTCCAGGAGAAAGTGGATGAGCAGGTGCCCTCCAGGAGTAGGCGGATGATGGCCTGGTCTGGCAACCCTACGAACAGGTGGCAACCCTAAAAGTACGGTCACACTAAGGGTGGCAACCCTAGGATACGGTCACACTAAACGGGGGGCCTAAAAGTATGCAATAGTAAAAATCGCGGGACGGTGGCGCTTCCTAGTGGGCGAAAGTGGCACTACTGCAAGCCGAAGGTGGCGCCACCTAGTGTCCGGAAGTGGTACTAAAATGCCCGACAGTGGCGCCACCTAGTGGCCAAAAGTGGTACTAAAATGCTCACAGTGGCGCCACCTAGTGGCCAAAATTGGTACTAAAATGACCACAGTGGCGCCACCTATTGGCCAAAATTGGTACTAAAATGCCCACAGTGGCGCCACCTATTGGCCAAAATTGGTACTAAAATGCCCACAGTGGCGCCACCTATTGGCCAAAATTGGTACTAAAATGCCCACAGTGGCGCCACCTATTGGCCAAAATTGGTACTAAAATGCCCACAGTGGCGCCACCTAGTGGCCAAAATTGGTACTAAAATGCCCACAGTGGCGCCACCTAGTGGCCAAAATTGGTACTAAAATGCCCACAGTGGCGCCACCTAGTGGCCAAAATTGGTACTAAAACGCCCGACAGTGGCGCCACCTAGTGCGTCAAATTGGTACTACTGCGAGCGACGGTGGCGCTCTCTAGTGTTTCAAATTGGTACTACCGCGCGCGACGGTGGCGCTTTTTAGTGTGTCAAATTGGCACTCACCGTGCGCCCAACACGTATGCTACACTTTTTCCCACATTAGCCGATGCGCTCCTGCCGGCAACTATCAAAATTACTTTATACTGCGCCTTATTGCAGTGCCTGTCGGGGGCGGTCGATGGCCTAGCAGCTTAAGCGCAAGACCACGAACCGAAAAGACCTGGGCTCGAGTCCAGGCAAAGGCAATTACAAAAAAAAAAAAAAGATTTTTCTGAAGTAGATTAGATAGAGGGATTCGATAGTAGGGAACTGTGCATGCCCTTATACAGCTGCAGTCCAATACCCTGTCCTCATCCTAGTGTCCACATCCTCCACCCGAGTGTGTCGCCGGAGGATCAGGTGCCCTCCAGGAGAAAGTGGATGAGCAGGTGCCCTCCAGGAGTAGGCGGATGATGGCCTGGTCTGGCAACCCTACGAACAGGTGGCAACCCTAAAAGTACGGTCACACTAAGGGTGGCAACCCTAGGATACGGTCACACTAAACGGGGGGCCTAAAAGTATGCAATAGTAAAAATCGCGGGACGGTGGCGCTTCCTAGTGGGCGAAAGTGGCACTACTGCAAGCCGAAGGTGGCGCCACCTAGTGTCCGGAAGTGGTACTAAAATGCCCGACAGTGGCGCCACCTAGTGGCCAAAAGTGGTACTAAAATGCTCACAGTGGCGCCACCTAGTGGCCAAAATTGGTACTAAAATGACCACAGTGGCGCCACCTATTGGCCAAAATTGGTACTAAAATGCCCACAGTGGCGCCACCTATTGGCCAAAATTGGTACTAAAATGCCCACAGTGGCGCCACCTATTGGCCAAAATTGGTACTAAAATGCCCACAGTGGCGCCACCTATTGGCCAAAATTGGTACTAAAATGCCCACAGTGGCGCCACCTAGTGGCCAAAATTGGTACTAAAATGCCCACAGTGGCGCCACCTAGTGGCCAAAATTGGTACTAAAATGCCCACAGTGGCGCCACCTAGTGGCCAAAATTGGTACTAAAACGCCCGACAGTGGCGCCACCTAGTGCGTCAAATTGGTACTACTGCGAGCGACGGTGGCGCTCTCTAGTGTTTCAAATTGGTACTACCGCGCGCGACGGTGGCGCTTTTTAGTGTGTCAAATTGGCACTCACCGTGCGCCCAACACGTATGCTACACTTTTTCCCACATTAGCCGATGCGCTCCTGCCGGCAACTATCAAAATTACTTTATACTGCGCCTTATTGCAGTGCCTGTCGGGGGCGGTCGATGGCCTAGCAGCTTAAGCGCAAGACCACGAACCGAAAAGACCTGGGCTCGAGTCCAGGCAAAGGCAATTACAAAAAAAAAAAAAGATTTTTCTGAAGTAGATTAGATAGAGGGATTCGATAGTAGGGAACTGTGCATGCCCTTATACAGCTGCAGTCCAATACCCTGTCCTCATCCTAGTGTCCACATCCTCCACCCGAGTGTGTCGCCGGAGGATCAGGTGCCCTCCAGGAGAAAGTGGATGAGCAGGTGCCCTCCAGGAGTAGGCGGATGATGGCCTGGTCTGGCAACCCTACGAACAGGTGGCAACCCTAAAAGTACGGTCACACTAAGGGTGGCAACCCTAGGATACGGTCACACTAAACGGGGGGCCTAAAAGTATGCAATAGTAAAAATCGCGGGACGGTGGCGCTTCCTAGTGGGCGAAAGTGGCACTACTGCAAGCCGAAGGTGGCGCCACCTAGTGTCCGGAAGTGGTACTAAAATGCCCGACAGTGGCGCCACCTAGTGGCCAAAAGTGGTACTAAAATGCTCACAGTGGCGCCACCTAGTGGCCAAAATTGGTACTAAAATGACCACAGTGGCGCCACCTATTGGCCAAAATTGGTACTAAAATGCCCACAGTGGCGCCACCTATTGGCCAAAATTGGTACTAAAATGCCCACAGTGGCGCCACCTATTGGCCAAAATTGGTACTAAAATGCCCACAGTGGCGCCACCTATTGGCCAAAATTGGTACTAAAATGCCCACAGTGGCGCCACCTAGTGGCCAAAATTGGTACTAAAATGCCCACAGTGGCGCCACCTAGTGGCCAAAATTGGTACTAAAATGCCCACAGTGGCGCCACCTAGTGGCCAAAATTGGTACTAAAACGCCCGACAGTGGCGCCACCTAGTGCGTCAAATTGGTACTACTGCGAGCGACGGTGGCGCTCTCTAGTGTTTCAAATTGGTACTACCGCGCGCGACGGTGGCGCTTTTTAGTGTGTCAAATTGGCACTCACCGTGCGCCCAACACGTATGCTACACTTTTTCCCACATTAGCCGATGCGCTCCTGCCGGCAACTATCAAAATTACTTTATACTGCGCCTTATTGCAGTGCCTGTCGGGGGCGGTCGATGGCCTAGCAGCTTAAGCGCAAGACCACGAACCGAAAAGACCTGGGCTCGAGTCCAGGCAAAGGCAATTACAAAAAAAAAAAAAAAGATTTTTCTGAAGTAGATTAGATAGAGGGATTTCGATAATAGGAACTGTGCATGCCCTTAGACAGCTGCAGTCCAATTAATACCATGTTCTTCTCATCCTAGTGTCCACATCCTCCACCCGAGTGTGTCGCCGGAGGAGCAGGTGCCGTCCAGGAGAAGGTGGATGAGCAGGTGCCCTCCAGGAGAAGGTGGATGAGCAGGTGCCCTCCAGGAGAAGGTGGATGAGCAGGTGCCCTCCAGGAGAAGGTGGATGAGCAGGTGCCCTCCAGGAGAAGGTGGATGAGCAGGTGCCCTCCAAGAGTAGGCGGAGGAGCAGGTGCCCTCCAGGAGAAGGTGGATGAGCAGGTGCCCTCCAAGAGTAGGCGGAGAAGCCCTCCAGGAGAAGGTGGATGAGCAGGTGCCCTCCAGGAGTAGGCGGAGGAGCAGGTGCCCTCCAAGAGTAGGCGGAGGGGCGGATGAGCAGGTGCCCCCAATGTGTTGACTATGGTCACTCTCAAAAGGTGGCTGCTATGAAACTATGATCACTCTCAAAAGCTGGCTGCTATGAAACTCTGGTCACATTCAAAAGCTGGCTGATCTGAAACTATGATCACTCTCAAAAGCTGGCTGCTATGAAATTATTGGTCACTCTCAAAAGGTGGCTGCTATGAAACTATTGGTCACGCTCAAAAGGTGGCTGCTCTGAAACTATGGTCACACTATAAAGGTGGCAACAAAAAGTGACTTTATACCGAAAATTGGACCACATTCGGTCGTTGAAAACGCTGTAACTCCGTTAGTTTGACTCTAAAAGACTCAAAAATTTTACACAATGTGCTCAACATATTGGTCTATCAGATAAAAATATTAAAACAAATCTTACATGTAAATAAGAGGTCAAAATTGCGCGGCGCGCGCAAAAAAAGTGATTTTATACTGAAAAATTCGACCACATTCGGTCGTTGAAAACGCTGTAACTCCGTTAGTTTGACTGTTAAAACGCTGTATCTCCGTTAGTTTGACTATAAATGACTCAACATTTTTTCACAATATTCTCAATATATTGGTCTTTTTGAAAAAAAATGTTTAAAAATTGAGAAATACAAATAGACGGGGGAACTGCGTGGGGAGCGCATTTAAAGTACTTGTAGACGTTAAAATTCGGTCTGTTAAAACGCTGTAACGCATCAATTGATGACGTGCATCGCTTATTTAAAAAAAATAGTACTCACCCTATAGTGTTTGGAGGCACTGCATCCTATAGGCCACTAAACGCAGGAAGGGATCAGCATTAACTGCAACGGGAATGAGTTAAAAACATAATTAAATTTGGAAATAATAAGTGCAACAATACGTTTAAAATGTTTAATTATAATTACCGATGACGTGGCAATATTAATGTAATGTAATGTTAATGTAATGTGAATGTAATTTTAATAACATTAATATTACCACGTCATAGGCATTATAGCTGTAACTCCGTTAGTTTGACTCTAAAAGACTCAAAAATTGTATACAATGTGCTCAACATATTGGTCTATCAGATAAAAATACTAAAACAAATCTTACATATAAATAAGAGGTCGAAATTGCGCAGCGCGCGCAAAAAAGTGATTTTATACTGAAAAATTCGACCACATTCGGTCGTGGAAAACGCTGTAACTTCGTTAGTTTGACTCTAAAAGACTCAAAAATTTTACACAATGTGCTCAACATATTGGTCTATCAGATAAAAATATTAAAACAAATCTTACATATAAATAAGAAATCGAAATTGCGCGGCGCGCGCAAAAAAAGGGATTTTATACCGAAAAATTCGACCACATTCGGTCGTTTAAAACGCTGTAACTCCGCTAGTTTAACTCTAAATGACTCAACATTTTTACACAATGTTCTCAACATATTGGTCTTTAAGAAAAAAAATATAAAAAAAATCTTACATATAAATAAGAGGTCGAAATTGCGCGGCGCGCGCAAAAAAAGTGATTTTATACCGAAAAATTCGACCACATTCGGTCGGGGAAAACGCTGTAACTCCGTTAGTTTGACTCTAAAAGACTCAACAATTTTACACAATGTGCTCAACATATTGGTCTATCAGATAAAAATATTAAAAAAATCCTACATATAAATAAGAGGTCGAAATTGCGCGGCGCGCGCAAAAAACTGATTTTATACCGAAAAATTCGACCACATTCGGTCGTTTAAAACGCTGTAACTCCGCTAGTTTAACTTTAAATGACTCAACATTTAACGCACATTCGGTCGGGGAAAACGCTGTAACTCCGTTAGTTTGACTCTAAAAGACTCAACAATTTTACACAATGTGCTCAACATATTGGTCTATCAGATAAAAATATTAAAAAAAATCCTACATATAAATAAGAGGTCGAAATTGCGCGGCGCGCGCAAAAAAAGGGATTTTATACCGAAAAATTCGACCACATTCGGTCGTTTAAAACGCTGTAACTCCGCTAGTTTAACTCTAAATGACTCAACATTTTTACACAATGTTCTCAACATATTGGTCTTTAAGAAAAAAAATATAAAAAAAATCTTACATATAAATAAGAGGTCGAAATTGCGCGGCGCGCGCAAAAAAGTGATTTTACACCGAAAAATTCGACCACATTCGGTCGGGGAAAACGCTGTAACTCCGTTAGTTTGACTCTAAAAGACTCAACAATTTTACACAATGTGCTCAACATATTGGTCTATCAGATAAAAATATTAAAAAAAATCTTACATATAAATAAGAGGTCGAAATTGCGCGGCGCGCGCAAAAAAGTGATTTTATACCGAAAATTCGACCACATTCGGTCGTTGAAAACGCTGTAACTCCGCTAGTTTAACACTAAATGACTCTACATTTTTACACAATGTTCTCAACATATTGGTCTTTAAAAAAAAATATTTAAAAATTGCGAAATACAAATAGACGGGGGAACTGCGCGGGGAGCGCATTTAAAGTACTAGCAGACGTTAAAATTTGGTCTTTTAAAACGCTGTAACGTATCAATTGATGAAGTGCATTACTTATTTAAAAAAAAATGGTACTCACCCTATAGTGTTTGGAGGCACTGCATCCGATAGGTCACTAAAAGCTGGAAGGCATCAGCATTACCTGCAACGGGAATGTTTTAAAAACATAATTAAATTTGGAAACAATAAGTGCAACACTACGTTTACAATTTTTAATTATAATTACCGATGACGTGGCAATATTAATGTAATGTAATGTTAATGTAATGTGAATGTAATTTTAATAACATTAATATTGTCTTGTCATCGGCATTATAGCTGTAACTCCGTTAATTTGACTCTAAATGACTCAACATTTTTACACAATGTTCTCAACATATTGGTCTTTAAGAAAAAAATATAAAAAAAATCTTACATATAAATAAGAGGTCGAAATTGCGCGGCGCGCGCAAAAAAGTGATTTTATACCGAAAAATTCGACCACATTCGGTCGAGGAAAACGCTGTAACTCCGTTAGTTTGACTCTAAAAGACTCAACAATTTTACACAATGTGCTCAACATATTGGTCTATCAGATAAAAATATATAAAAAAAAATCCTACATATAAATAAGAGGTCGAAATTGCGCGGCGCGCGCAGAAAAGTGATTTTATACCGAAAAATTCGACCACATTCGGTCGTGGAAAACGCTGTAACTCCGTTAGTTTGATTCTAAAAGACTCAACAATTTTACACAATGTGCTCAACATATTGGTCTATCAGATAAAAATATTAAAAAAATCCTACATATAAATAAGAGGTCAAAATTGCGCGGCGCGCGCAAAAAAAGTGATTTTATACTGAAAAATTCGACCACATTCGGTCGTTGAAAACGCTGTAACTCCGTTAGTTTGACTGTTAAAACGCTGTATCTCCGTTAGTTTGACTATAAATGACTCAACATTTTTTCACAATATTCTCAATATATTGGTCTTTTTGAAAAAAAATGTTTAAAAATTGAGAAATACAAATAGACGGGGGAACTGCGTGGGGAGCGCATTTAAAGTACTTGTAGACGTTAAAATTCGGTCTGTTAAAACGCTGTAACGCATCAATTGATGACGTGCATCGCTTATTTTAAAAAAATAGTACTCACCCTATAGTGTTTGGAGGCACTGCATCCTATAGGCCACTAAACGCAGGAAGGGATCAGCATTAACTGCAACGGGAATGAGTTAAAAACATAATTAAATTTGGAAATAATAAGTGCAACAATACGTTTAAAATGTTTAATTATAATTACCGATGACGTGGCAATATTAATGTAATGTAATGTTAATGTAATGTGAATGTAATTTTAATAACATTAATATTACCACGTCATAGGCATTATAGCTGTAACTCCGTTAGTTTGACTCTAAAAGACTCAAAAATTGTATACAATGTGCTCAACATATTGGTCTATCAGATAAAAATACTAAAACAAATCTTACATATAAATAAGAGGTCGAAATTGCGCAGCGCGCGCAAAAAAAGTGATTTTATACTAAAAAAATTCGACCACATTCGGTCGTGGAAAACGCTGTAACTTCGTTAGTTTGACTCTAAAAGACTCAAAAATTTTACACAATGTGCTCAACATATTGGTCTATCAGATAAAAATATTAAAACAAATCTTACATATAAATAAGAAATCGAAATTGCGCGGCGCGCGCAAAAAAAGGGATTTTATACCGAAAAATTCGACCACATTCGGTCGTTTAAAACGCTGTAACTCCGCTAGTTTAACTCTAAATGACTCAACATTTTTACACAATGTTCTCAACATATTGGTCTTTAAGAAAAAAAAATATAAAAAAATCTTACATATAAATAAGAGGTCGAAATTGCGCGGCGCGCGCAAAAAAGTGATTTTATACCGAAAAATTCGACCACATTCGGTCGGGGAAAACGCTGTAACTCCGTTAGTTTGACTCTAAAAGACTCAACAATTTTACACAATGTGCTCAACATATTGGTCTATCAGATAAAAATATTAAAAAAATCCTACATATAAATAAGAGGTCGAAATTGCGCGGCGCGCGCAAAAAACTGATTTTATACCGAAAAATTCGACCACATTCGGTCGTTTAAAACGCTGTAACTCCGCTAGTTTAACTTTAAATGACTCAACATTTAACGCACATTCGGTCGGGGAAAACGCTGTAACTCCGTTAGTTTGACTCTAAAAGACTCAACAATTTTACACAATGTGCTCAACATATTGGTCTATCAGATAAAAATATTAAAAAAAATCCTACATATAAATAAGAGGTCGAAATTGCGCGCGCGCGCGAAAAAAAGGGATTTTATACCGAAAAATTCGACCACATTCGGTCGTTTAAAACGCTGTAACTCCGCTAGTTTAACTCTAAATGACTCAACATTTTTACACAATGTTCTCAACATATTGGTCTTTAAGAAAAAAAATATAAAAAAATCTTACATATAAATAAGAGGTCGAAATTGCGCGGCGCGCGCAAAAAAGTGATTTTACACCGAAAAATTCGACCACATTCGGTCGGGGAAAACGCTGTAACTCCGTTAGTTTGACTCTAAAAGACTCAACAATTTTACACAATGTGCTCAACATATTGGTCTATCAGATAAAAATATTAAAAAAAATCTTACATATAAATAAGAGGTCGAAATTGCGCGGCGCGCGCAAAAAAGTGATTTTATACCGAAAATTCGACCACATTCGGTCGTTGAAAACGCTGTAACTCCGCTAGTTTAACACTAAATGACTCTACATTTTTACACAATGTTCTCAACATATTGGTCTTTAAAAAAAAAATATTTAAAAATTGCGAAATACAAATAGACGGGGGAACTGCGCGGGGAGCGCATTTAAAGTACTAGCAGACGTTAAAATTTGGTCTTTTAAAACGCTGTAACGTATCAATTGATGAAGTGCATTACTTATTTAAAAAAAAATGGTACTCACCCTATAGTGTTTGGAGGCACTGCATCCGATAGGTCACTAAAAGCTGGAAGGCATCAGCATTACCTGCAACGGGAATGTTTTAAAAACATAATTAAATTTGGAAACAATAAGTGCAACACTACGTTTACAATTTTTAATTATAATTACCGATGACGTGGCAATATTAATGTAATGTAATGTTAATGTAATGTGAATGTAATTTTAATAACATTAATATTGTCTTGTCATCGGCATTATAGCTGTAACTCCGTTAATTTGACTCTAAATGACTCAACATTTTTACACAATGTTCTCAACATATTGGTCTTTAAGAAAAAAAATATAAAAAAAATCTTACATATAAATAAGAGGTCGAAATTGCGCGGCGCGCGCAAAAAAGTGATTTTATACCGAAAAATTCGACCACATTCGGTCGAGGAAAACGCTGTAACTCCGTTAGTTTGACTCTAAAAGACTCAACAATTTTACACAATGTGCTCAACATATTGGTCTATCAGATAAAAATATTAAAAAAAAATCCTACATATAAATAAGAGGTCGAAATTGCGCGGCGCGCGCAGAAAAGTGATTTTATACCGAAAAATTCGACCACATTCGGTCGTGGAAAACGCTGTAACTCCGTTAGTTTGATTCTAAAAGACTCAACAATTTTACACAATGTGCTCAACATATTGGTCTATCAGATAAAAATATTAAAAAAAATCCTACATATAAATAAGAGGTCAAAATTGCGCGGCGCGCGCAAAAAAAGGGATTTTATACCGAAAAATTCGACCACATTCGGTCGTTTAAAGCGCTGTAACTCCGCTAGTTTAACTCTAAATGACTCAACATTTTTACACAATGTTTTCAACATATTGGTCTTTAAGAAAAAAAATATAAAAAAATCTTACATATAAATAAGAGGTCGAAATTGCGCAGCGCGCGCAAAAAAGTGATTTTATACCGAAAAATTCGACCACATTCGGTCGGGGAAAACGCTGTAACTCCGTTAGTTTGACTCTAAAAGACTCAACAATTTTACACAATGTGCTCAACATATTGGTCTATCAGATAAAAATATTAAAAAAAAATCCTACATATAAATAAGAGGTCGAAATTGCGCGGCGCGCGCAGAAAAGTGATTTTATACCAAAAAATTCGACCACATTCGGTCTATTAAAATGCTGTAATTCCGTTAGTTTGACTCTAAAAGACTCAACAATTTTACACAATGTGCTCAACATATTGGTCTATCAGATAAAAATATTAAAAAAAAATCCTACATATAAATAAGAGGTCGAAATTGCGCGGCGCGCGCAAAAAAGTGATTTTATACCGAAAAATTCGACCACATTCGGTCGTTTAAAACGCTGTAACTCCGCTAGTTTAACTCTAAATGACTCAACATTTTTACACAATGTTTTCAACATATTGGTCTTTAAGAAAAAAAATATAAAAAAATCTTACATATAAATAAGAGGTCGAAATTGCGCGGCGCGCGCAAAAAAGTGATTTTATACCGAAAAATTCGACCACATTCGGTCGGGGAAAACGCTGAACAATTTTACACAATGTGCTTAACATATTGGTCTATCAAATAAAAATATTAAAAAAATCCTACATATAAATAAGAGGTCGAAATTGCGCGGCGCGCGCAAAAAAGTGATTTTATACCGAAAAATTCGACCACATTCGGTCGTGGAAAACGCTGTAACTCCGTTAGTTTGACTCTAAAAGACTCAACAATTTTACACAATGTGCTCAACACATTGGTCTATCAGATAAAAATATTAAAAAAAATCCTACATATAAATAAGAGGTCGAAATTGCGCGGCGCGCGCAAAAAAAGGGATTTTATACCGAAAAATTCGACCACATTCGGTCGTTTAAAACGCTGTAACTCCGCTAGTTTAACTCTAAATGACTCAACATTTTTACACAATGTTCTCAACATATTGGTCTTTAAGAAAAAAAATATAAAAAAATCTTACATATAAATAAGAGGTCGAAATTGCGCGGCGCGCGCAAAAAAGTGATTTTACACCGAAAAATTCGACCACATTCGGTCGTTTAAAACGCTGTAACTCCGCTAGTTTAACTCTAAATGACTCAACATTTTTACACAATGTTTTCAACATATTGGTCTTTAAGAAAAAAAATATAAAAAAATCTTACATATAAATAAGAGGTCGAAATTGCGCGGCGCGCGCAAAAAAGTGATTTTATACCGAAAAATTCGACCACATTCGGTCGGGGAAAACGCTGAACAATTTTACACAATGTGCTTAACATATTGGTCTATCAGATAAAAATATTAAAAAAAATCCTACATATAAATAAGAGGTCGAAATTGCGCGGCGCGCGCAAAAAAGTGATTTTATACCGAAAAATTCGACCACATTCGGTCGTGGAAAACGCTGTAACTCCGTTAGTTTGACTCTAAAAGACTCAACAATTTTACACAATGTGCTCAACATATTGGTCTATCAGATAAAAATATTAAAAAAAATCCTACATATAAATAAGAGGTCGAAATTGCGCGGCGCGCGCAAAAAAAGGGATTTTATACCGAAAAATTCGACCACATTCGGTCGTTTAAAACGCTGTAACTCCGCTAGTTTAACTCTAAATGACTCAACATTTTTACACAATGTTCTCAACATATTGGTCTTTAAGAAAAAAAATATAAAAAAATCTTACATATAAATAAGAGGTCGAAATTGCGCGGCGCGCGCAAAAAAGTGATTTTACACCGAAAAATTCGACCACATTCGGTCGGGGAAAACGCTGTAACTCCGTTAGTTTGACTCTAAAAGACTCAACAATTTTACACAATGTGCTCAACATATTGGTCTTTAAGAAAAAAAAATATAAAAAAATCTTACATATAAATAAGAGGTCGAAATTGCGCGGCGCGCGCAAAAAAGTGATTTTATACCGAAAAATTCGACCACATTCGGTCGTGGAAAACGCTGTAACTCCGTTAGTTTGACTCTAAAAGACTCAACAATTTTACACAATGTGCTCAACATATTGGTCTATCAGATAAAAATATTAAAAAAATCTTACATATAAATAAGAGGTCGAAATTGCGCGGCGCGCGCAAAAAAGTGATTTTATACCGAAAATTCGACCACATTCGGTCGTTGAAAACGCTGTAACTCCGCTAGTTTAACACTAAATGACTCTACATTTTTACACAATGTTCTCAACATATTGGTCTTTAAAAAAAAAATATTTAAAAATTGCGAAATACAAATAGACGGGGGAACTGCGCGGGGAGCGCATTTAAAGTACTAGCAGACGTTAAAATTTGGTCTTTTAAAACGCTGTAACGTATCAATTGATGAAGTGCATTACTTATTTAAAAAAAAATGGTACTCACCCTATAGTGTTTGGAGGCACTGCATCCGATAGGTCACTAAAAGCTGGAAGGCATCAGCATTACCTGCAACGGGAATGTTTTAAAAACATAATTAAATTTGGAAACAATAAGTGCAACACTACGTTTACAATTTTTAATTATAATTACCGATGACGTGGCAATATTAATGTAATGTAATGTTAATGTAATGTGAATGTAATTTTAATAACATTAATATTGTCTTGTCATCGGCATTATAGCTGTAACTCCGTTAATTTGACTCTAAATGACTCAACATTTTTACACAATGTTCTCAACATATTGGTCTTTAAGAAAAAAAATATAAAAAAATCTTACATATAAATAAGAGGTCGAAATTGCGCGGCGCGCGCAAAAAAGTGATTTTATACCGAAAAATTCGACCACATTCGGTCGAGGAAAACGCTGTAACTCCGTTAGTTTGACTCTAAAAGACTCAACAATTTTACACAATGTGCTCAACATATTGGTCTATCAGATAAAAATATTAAAAAAAAATCCTACATATAAATAAGAGGTCGAAATTGCGCGGCGCGCGCAGAAAAGTGATTTTATACCGAAAAATTCGACCACATTCGGTCGTGGAAAACGCTGTAACTCCGTTAGTTTGATTCTAAAAGACTCAACAATTTTACACAATGTGCTCAACATATTGGTCTATCAGATAAAAATATTAAAAAAAATCCTACATATAAATAAGAGGTCAAAATTGCGCGGCGCGCGCAAAAAAAGGGATTTTATACCGAAAAATTCGACCACATTCGGTCGTTTAAAGCGCTGTAACTCCGCTAGTTTAACTCTAAATGACTCAACATTTTTACACAATGTTCTCAACATATTGGTCTTTAAAAAAAAAAAATATAAAAAAAATCTTACATATAAATAAGAGGTCGAAATTGCGCAGCGCGCGCAAAAAAGTGATTTTATACCGAACAAGAAAGGAAGCTAGCTTCGGCAAGCCGAAGCTTATATACCCTTGCAGTCATCAAATATGGCGAAAAAAATACATAAACGCTAAACAACATCGAAGCTAAGACGATTTTTCTATTCATTTTTCATATTTTCGACAATAGATCATATGGGAGCTATATGATATAGTTGTCCGATTTTCATCAAATTTAATTCGTAATTGAAGAGTCGTTAGAAAACTTTAAATTTCAAAAATCATGCTTATCAAATAAAAACCAACGATGTTATAATTTTATTTCCGTTATTTCTATATAGATTTTTCGATCTTTCCTATGGCACCTATAAGATATAGTTGTCCGATTTTTATGAAACTTTTTTCTCAATATAAGGGTTGTTAAAAAACTTGATATTCAAAAAATCATGCTCGTGGGATAAAAAACAACGATGCTATCAATTTATTTCCATTAATTCTATATATATTTTTTGATCTGTCCTATGGCAGCTATATGATAGAGTTATCCGATTTTGTTCAAATTTAATCCGAAATTCAATAACAGTTAGAAAACGCCATCTTGAAGAATTCAAGTCGATCTGATCAAAAACAACAGAGTGAGAATTTTTAATTTCATTCTCTTGTATTGGAGCTATCCGATATAGTCGGCCGATCCGGCCCGTTCCGACTTATATACTGCGTGCAACAACTATACAACTTTTGGGAAAGTTTCAGCACGATAGCTTTAAAACTGAGAGACTAGTTTGCGCGGAAACGGACAGACGGACAGACGGACAGACGTACATACATATTTCGATTCAGATGGTGATGCTGATCAAGAATATATATACTTTATGGGGTCTGAGGTGTCTCCTTCACTGCGTTGCAAACTTCTGACTGAAATTATAATACCCTTTTGCTCTGCAAGGGTATAAAAATTCGACCACATTCGGTCGGGGAAAACGCTGTAACTCCGTTAGTTTGACTCTAAAAGACTCAACAATTTTACACAATGTGCTCAACATATTGGTCTATCAGATAAAAATATTAAAAAAAAATCCTACATATAAATAAGAGGTCGAAATTGCGCGGCGCGCGCAGAAAAGTGATTTTATACCAAAAAATTCGACCACATTCGGTCTATTAAAATGCTGTAATTCCGTTAGTTTGACTCTAAAAGACTCAACAATTTTACACAATGTGCTCAACATATTGGTCTATCAGATAAAAATATTAAAAAAAAATCCTACATATAAATAAGAGGTCGAAATTGCGCGGCGCGCGCAAAAAAGTGATTTTATACCGAAAAATTCGACCACATTCGGTCGTTTAAAACGCTGTAACTCCGCTAGTTTAACTCTAAATGACTCAACATTTTTACACAATGTTTTCAACATATTGGTCTTTAAGAAAAAAAATATAAAAAAATCTTACATATAAATAAGAGGTCGAAATTGCGCGGCGCGCGCAAAAAAGTGATTTTATACCGAAAAATTCGACCACATTCGGTCGGGGAAAACGCTGAACAATTTTACACAATGTGCTTAACATATTGGTCTATCAAATAAAAATATTAAAAAAAATCCTACATATAAATAAGAGGTCGAAATTGCGCGGCGCGCGCAAAAAAGTGATTTTATACCGAAAAATTCGACCACATTCGGTCGTGGAAAACGCTGTAACTCCGTTAGTTTGACTCTAAAAGACTCAACAATTTTACACAATGTGCTCAACACATTGGTCTATCAGATAAAAATATTAAAAAAAATCCTACATATAAATAAGAGGTCGAAATTGCGCGGCGCGCGCAAAAAAAGGGATTTTATACCGAAAAATTCGACCACATTCGGTCGTTTAAAACGCTGTAACTCCGCTAGTTTAACTCTAAATGACTCAACATTTTTACACAATGTTCTCAACATATTGGTCTTTAAGAAAAAAAATATAAAAAAAATCTTACATATAAATAAGAGGTCGAAATTGCGCGGCGCGCGCAAAAAAGTGATTTTACACCGAAAAATTCGACCACATTCGGTCGTTTAAAACGCTGTAACTCCGCTAGTTTAACTCTAAATGACTCAACATTTTTACACAATGTTTTCAACATATTGGTCTTTAAGAAAAAAAATATAAAAAAAATCTTACATATAAATAAGAGGTCGAAATTGCGCGGCGCGCGCAAAAAAGTGATTTTATACCGAAAAATTCGACCACATTCGGTCGGGGAAAACGCTGAACAATTTTACACAATGTGCTTAACATATTGGTCTATCAGATAAAAATATTAAAAAAAATCCTACATATAAATAAGAGGTCGAAATTGCGCGGCGCGCGCAAAAAAGTGATTTTATACCGAAAAATTCGACCACATTCGGTCGTGGAAAACGCTGTAACTCCGTTAGTTTGACTCTAAAAGACTCAACAATTTTACACAATGTGCTCAACATATTGGTCTATCAGATAAAAATATTAAAAAAAATCCTACATATAAATAAGAGGTCGAAATTGCGCGGCGCGCGCAAAAAAAGGGATTTTATACCGAAAAATTCGACCACATTCGGTCGTTTAAAACGCTGTAACTCCGCTAGTTTAACTCTAAATGACTCAACATTTTTACACAATGTTCTCAACATATTGGTCTTTAAGAAAAAAAATATAAAAAAATCTTACATATAAATAAGAGGTCGAAATTGCGCGGCGCGCGCAAAAAAGTGATTTTACACCGAAAAATTCGACCACATTCGGTCGGGGAAAACGCTGTAACTCCGTTAGTTTGACTCTAAAAGACTCAACAATTTTACACAATGTGCTCAACATATTGGTCTTTAAGAAAAAAAAATATAAAAAAAATCTTACATATAAATAAGAGGTCGAAATTGCGCGGCGCGCGCAAAAAAGTGATTTTATACCGAAAAATTCGACCACATTCGGTCGGGGAAAACGCTGTAACTCCGTTAGTTTGACTCTAAAAGACTCAACAATTTTACACAATGTGCTCAACATATTGGTCTATCAGATAAAAATATTAAAAAAATCCTACATATAAATAAGAGGTCGAAATTGCGCGGCGCGCAAAAAACTGATTTTATACCGAAAAATTCGACCACATTCGGTCGTTTAAAACGCTGTAACTCCGCTAGTTTAACTTTAAATGACTCAACATTTAACGCACATTCGGTCGGGGAAAACGCTGTAACTCCGTTAGTTTGACTCTAAAAGACTCAACAATTTTACACAATGTGCTCAACATATTGGTCTATCAGATAAAAATATTAAAAAAAATCCTACATATAAATAAGAGGTCGAAATTGCGCGGCGCGCGCAAAAAAAGGGATTTTATACCGAAAAATTCGACCACATTCGGTCGTTTAAAACGCTGTAACTCCGCTAGTTTAACTCTAAATGACTCAACATTTTTACACAATGTTCTCAACATATTGGTCTTTAAGAAAAAAAATATAAAAAAAATCCTACATATAAATAAGAGGTCGAAATTGCGCGGCGCGCGCAAAAAACTGATTTTATACCGAAAAATTCGACCACATTCGGTCGTTTAAAACGCTGTAACTCCGCTAGTTTAACTTTAAATGACTCAACATTTAACGCACATTCGGTCGGGGAAAACGCTGTAACTCCGTTAGTTTGACTCTAAAAGACTCAACAATTTTACACAATGTGCTCAACATATTGGTCTATCAGATAAAAATATTAAAAAAAATCCTACATATAAATAAGAGGTCGAAATTGCGCGGCGCGCGCAAAAAAAGGGATTTTATACCGAAAAATTCGACCACATTCGGTCGTTTAAAACGCTGTAACTCCGCTAGTTTAACTCTAAATGACTCAACATTTTTACACAATGTTCTCAACATATTGGTCTTTAAGAAAAAAAATATAAAAAAATCTTACATATAAATAAGAGGTCGAAATTGCGCGGCGCGCGCAAAAAAGTGATTTTACACCGAAAAATTCGACCACATTCGGTCGGGGAAAACGCTGTAACTCCGTTAGTTTGACTCTAAAAGACTCAACAATTTTACACAATGTGCTCAACATATTGGTCTATCAGATAAAAATATTAAAAAAAATCTTACATATAAATAAGAGGTCGAAATTGCGCGGCGCGCGCAAAAAAGTGATTTTATACCGAAAAATTTGACCACATTCGGTCGTTGAAACGCTGTAACTCCGTTAGTTTGACTCTTAAAGACTCAACAATTTTACACAATGTGCTCAACATATTGGTCTATCAGATAAAAATATTAAAAAAAATCTTACATATAAATAAGAGGTCGAAATTGCGCGGCGCGCGCAAAAAAGTGATTTTATACCGAAAAATTTGACCACATTCGGTCGTTGAAAGCGCTGTAACTCCGTTAGTTTGACTCTAAAAGACTCAAAAATTTTACACAATGTGCTCAACATATTGGTCTGTTAGAAAAAAAATATTAAAAAATTGCTAAATACAAATAGAGGGGGAGCTGCGCGGGGAGCGCATTTAATATACTTAGTATACGAAAAAATTTGTTCAAATTCGGCCTGTTAAATCGCTGTAACTGCGTTAGGCTGACTCTAAATGACTTCAAATTTTCACACAATATTCTCGACATATTAGTCTTAAAGAAAAAAAATAGAAAAAAAAAGCTGAATAGAAATACAGGGGGGACTGGGGTCCATGCTGTGCCAACTCGGCTCTCCTCATTATGGAGTTCGAAGGCCTTGCTGTTGGCATGCCAGGCGAGCGAGGGTCCTTACCTAGACAGTTTTCTCAAAAATTGGGGTCCTGACTGCATTCTAGGCTCTCCTCATCGCCAACTGCACAACGGCTACTTAAATAAAATAGCACAAGTTTCGACTCACCTGCCTTGGACTTGCTGGAGCTTTGCTGATGGGCAGTGATCTACAAGCGTGACCAGCCTGCGACACGCTATAGGAACTGGAACTAGAGTCCTTGATCATAATTCAATGAATCCTGAAATTGAAAGAAATATATTATTTAGAGTATAATTCACAAGATCTAAAATACTCACCATACGAGTCCTCTCACTGGTCTTTCGCAGCCCCGTCATTGGCTGCTCCATGCCTTGCTGCTGCAAGGGATGTGCGCCTTCTTTGGAGGCCCTCCGTAGAGGTGGAAATCATAACAAATATTACACTTACCTGCTAGCTACCTTTAAGCAACAATAAAAGCGGCACCAACACCAAGAAAAATGTAAACAAACAGCAATTGTAACACGCAAAACAGGTGCAAAATAAGATTTACTCACCGTTCTGCTGCCACTGCCTCCAATGCCGAGTGCCTACTCCATCCAGATGCCAGAATCTACAATTTAATAACAAAAACATTGTAGTTTTAATTAAAAATTTTTCCTATTTAAAACCTACTTGCCAATTTCTGGCCACAAATACTGCCAATGTGACCAAATCGACCAGCTTGGCGATATCCACTAGCCACGGCACGCTCCACGAAACGACACCCAAGAACACAACCACCTGTTTGATTTAAGAAAAAAATATAAAAAAAGCTAAATTCAAATACAGGGGGGACTGGGGTCCTTGCTGTGCCAACTCGGCTCTCCTCATTATGAAGTTCAAAGGCCTTGCTGTTGGCATGCCAGGCGAGCGAGGGTCCTTACCTAGACAGCTCTCCCAAAAATTGGGGTCCTGACTGCATTCTAGGCTCTCCTTATCGCCAACTGCACAACGGCTACTTAAATATAATAGCACAAGTTTCGACTCACCTGCCTTGGACAATTGTTCAAATTCGGCATGTTAAATCGCTGTTACTTCGTTAGGTTGACTCTAAATGACTTCAGATTTTCACACAATATTCTCGACATATTAGTCTTGAAGAAAAAAAAATATTAAAAAATGCTAAATACCAATATAATATAACTTCGTTAGGTTGACTTTGTTCGGCTGTGAGTCGTTTCTTGCTCAAACAAAATAAAAAAAAACATATGCAAAAAATGCCATAAAATCATTAAAAAAAACTTTGTTTTTTTTGTCTTTATCTCGGTAAGTAGAAATCTATCTATGATCTATATATAGAATTCGTTAGAAAATTCTAAGTCGGGTGGCATTCACACCTATATACATATTTAAAAGTATGTAATCTATTATTTTTGATCAACTAATAACACAATAACAAATACATATGTATATAGATTTTGATTTCGAATAAATTTTTAAATTTACAGCATTTTGGGCTGCCACGGTGCTCTTTGCACGACTTCTCTGCGATTGTATTGTTTGATTTTTTTCGACGTTCCGCTAAAATGGATTTATTTTTAATTAATTCCTAATAAATTTACAAGTATACAAATTATGGTATTTATTTAATTTAAAAACTCACTGGCACCAGCCTTTTGCGCTCCCACATGCTCCCACAAGTACATACATACAAACTCATACATCAAATTAGCATAAAAATCCAGTAAATATGAGGGCGAAGTACAGACGGTAAAGTAACCCTCACTTTTTTCAATAGCCTTGACCAAATTTGTCTAATTTTTGTCTCTTATATATATATATGTATATAGAAACGCATATGGCTGTTAACGCCGCACAGCATTTTCTTGCAAAAGGTGTTTCAACACAATATACAACAACAAAAAAATCCCAACAAAAAAATTATGTAAGAGGAATGTTTGGTGGTTAACTCATTAACTTGATAATAAACGTAGATATTTAACTGTGCTTGAAGAAGAGTAGACTGTGGGGAAAGTGAAAACTATAACTGGACAAGGAACTTAGAATCCATGAAGAATAGGACTTTTCCTTAATAATTTTCTGGAGCAGTATAAATACGATTATTATTAAGTACTCTTAGAATTGTAGGAAACTTGGAGTTAGCATTAAAATTTAAATATGGCTAAAATAAAAAGCAATATATTTTTTTTATGTGTATATAAATATAAACTTTTTCATTTATTAATAGTTTAATACTTTATAAAATTCCTTATCAAATTATAAAATTGTTGAAAAGGCATACTTGTTATATGTTGTACTTTTTAAGATCTGTTCCCTATTTTTTAAAAATAACATTTGCACAAAACTATATATTTTTGCGAGCCAAAGCGTAAAAATTGACAATTCACGAGAGCACATTTAAGTATTTACATTATTAGTTTAGATCGAGAAAAGATCGTGCTTTCAAATTTTTCATGGAAATGCGATAAGTTGGAATAGTTTCCATTACATTTATAATTTTTTAAGAATTTTATGTAAGGAAATATTTTGATTTCACTATATAGTTGTAACAAATTTTCGAATAAAGCAAACTTAAAATTATGTTAAGTTAAAGTTTAGGTGCTACAGAGTAAAAAGGATGATTTATAAAAGGCAATAGTTGCCTGTGGACTAATGGTATCCACAATAATTTTGTGTGAAAGTCACTGCGTAAAACAACGTAAGATATTTTGTCTAGGTTGGCAAAACATTTCTTACAACCTATTTACCGACACAAAAAAAAATTCTGGTAAATTTTCGGTAAGGGATTTCTTACACCTCCTGGTGTAAGGTGAAATTAAACAGCCGCAGCCAGAGTTATAGCACAATGTTCCTCGGAGAAATTTCCGGTTGTCCTTTTGCACTGAAATTTTAAATTTAAAATTCTTCAAAGTACACTATACGCTTTACTTTCGTAAGCAAATATGTATGCCAATAGTTTAAAATGTTTATATTTAGCTATTTGTGCTATTATTTTAACCGCTTATGTCTGTTTAATCTTAAAACTGGCTTTCTTCGGGAACAGTTTTTTTCGTCGTATTAATTTCGCCTTCGCCGTTTGTCTTTTCATGTGATATGGTTGTTATAACAGATTTTATTACTACAGAGCTAGTACTCGATTCCGTTGTTTGGCTGCTAAGCAATAATTATCATTAATAGTGTAATTCAAAATTTTATTTTTATTGTTAATATGTACATGTGCATAAAGATAGAAAAAAACTTTTGAAATTCAAAACAATTTGCCGCCTAATTTTTTTTTAAGTTTATGGTATGTTCTGCTAAGTTGATTTGATTTTTTCTAATATGAATTTTTCTTTCACGAATAATTTACGGATAAATAACGCCAACTGATGAAAAATAAAAAAATTTGGATTTCAAAAGTTGTTTGGCTAACTTTATGCACATAAATACATAGGTACACACCTTTTTGATGCCATTTCCCCTAAATTGGAAATGTTTATATCCTGAATGTCGTCCATGTTTACGGTAGTAGTTGCTTTGTTTGTTTGCGTGCTTAGAACTGATAGACGACCTAAATTCATTTAAAGATGTCAATATAGTGAGTAATGTCAAATAAGAAGTGATAGGGCAGTCATGAAAAGCTTTAAGGAAAAGGTGGGACCTGATTTCAAATTCAGTTAAATGTATCAGCGCCTTTAGTTGTTTGGGTCACATATCTAAAATCAACAATTTAAGAAGAATTTAAATTCAAATATGTACAAACATACATATATGGCCAACATTGTAAAACCAATAAAAACGAAAAGTAATATTAAGGGGACAACAACAAGACAAACAAAATAAGCCAAATGAAATAATATATGGGCTTTTACTCACCCACAGTCTCCTCTGTGGTCGTAGAACACAAAGTGGTTGTTGTAAGATTTAAATGGTCACGCACCGAGTCTACGGTGATGTCACCAATGGAGCTGCTGATAGTCTCGTTGGCCGAATTGGGTAAATTGCTGTTGCAAATTCCATTAGCTAGATGAAGACTACTTCTGTCTAAGTTTTCGTTTGCAGGTTTACCGCGCACTGGAGCCGTTTGTTTTTTTTTATTGTCAAGTATATTGGCATCTTCCACATTACAAGCCGCTTCTTTATCACTTTCTTCTTCTTCTTCTTCTTCCAGAGTTGATTCTTGGGCTTCCAAAGGCTCTACTTTAACAATTCCGGTGGGTTGGACAACTTTGGACTTGGCTAGAGCAATGCGTTGCAATTCTGAAGATGACATCATGTACAAAGCTTCACCAGAGTTGGTAAAGCAAAGTGAAGAAATTCCACTGCAAGATGAAAATGCATTTATAATAATGTATACTTAAGAAATTTTGAACCTGTTTGTGACTTACTTAATATCTTCGCGACGCACTGCAGCAGCGTTTAGCTGTCTCTTTAATTCAGGGACTGACAAAACCATGATATCGCCCATGTTTGTCAAGCAGATCAGAGCAATTTCGTGATACACATCTCCACGACTAGCACTCAAGTTCGCACTAATGTTTGCAGACCCTTCTCCATCGCCATGCGATCGTGTGGACTTAGTGGGGCTACCACCATGCAGGTTTTGTATTAACTCAGGCGATATGCGACAACGAAACGATCCAAAGTGGATTCGACGAATTCGAGCTCCCTCGTTAGCTGTAAGTTTATACTTATTTATCGGCTTGAGTTGCGGAAGAGAAAACACTTTAAATTGTTCTTCAGAAGCAATAAGAAGACGATGCGGTGGGCTACCGTTTTCTCCAGCGTGTAACTGATCAACAGGAGTACCAGCCTGATCAAAGATGGAAATACCAACCACAGGAGCACGATGCTTTAGTTGAATTTCTTTCGCAAGCTGAGCAGAAATGCGACGTGGCGTCTGTGGTGCAGCATTGCCACTTGCCGATGGTACGGCAGTTGCTGCGGTCTGAGCTGGGGGTAAATGCAACAGGAAAACCGAGACGGTACTGGCATTTGTGGCTGACCATAAAGTTGGGGATGTTATGTTGACTGAAAATTCAAAATGTATTTTTTAACAGATAATAATTTTACAAATGTGCCAAACATTTTTTTATGTTTTCGATATAATATCCCGACATCAAAAGGTTGCAATAAACCATGTAATAATATTAAAAATGATCTCACCATTAGTAACATAAGTTTTGGCAAACAGTAAACATCGCACCATTGATCCTAGTCCGTCGTCAGCGCATCGGGCCTCTATTTGCCTCTCAACTGGTCGTGCTTCCAGCTACAAAAAATAGTTTTAGGTTAAGAATTAAAAAAAAATCTAGTATGCTACTTACAGTAGTCGGCACCTGATTGCTGGGGTTGTTTCGTGTCGATCGACCCTTTCGAAGTTTTCTAAATGACTCCCGCAATGATTTTTTAAATGACTTGCGTCGAGACAGCTGCTCGCCCGCTCCAGTGAGATCATTCGGATTTAATGTACATCGATGAAACACTGGGACAAAGTTCTTAAAGTCAAACAGGACCAGACCGTGCGCAGTTCCTCCGGATACAAGGCCCCAGTTCGCTTCAAGTGCCATGCATGTAATGCTGGCTGGAGGCAAGACTTGCAGAACCCCGGTTATTTGTACGCCATTTTCAGCTATAGGACTCGTGTCACCTTCCAATAAGTTTGAGCGCACGTTTAATTGATCGTGACCCTTCCACACAAACCCATCTCGATCGCTGACCATGTTCATAGAGCTATATTTTAAAGACGATTTTTCGAAAGTCTCTTGAAATTCGGCTATAATTATTTGGCCCGCTGTTCCACCAACAATGAGCTTTCCGGTATTTGGGCAAAATGCTATTTTCTTTACTGCTAAGCGAGGATCATCAGAGTATGGATCGAATAGACCAGCCTTTCTAAATGGCGGTTCTCCTTCATCTAGTTGTTCTGCACTTACGTCTGCAGCCGCTTCATCCCGGAAGTCATGTTCACTTCCAAATATGCTTCCCGTTTTAAAGTTATAAATTGGTTTAAGCAATACTCCAGTACAATCCCAAAATTTAACAGAACCATCTTCGTGTCCAGTCAACAAAATCTCATACAATTTTTCAGTGTCCTCTTCATCAGATTCTTCCAAATCTGCCGAAAGTAAACCGCCAGTAATAGGCCAGTCAATATTGCTGTAGTCAATGTCTTGCTCATCGCCCGCTCGTAAAATATTATCGTATACTGACTGTGTTACTTGTGAAGCTAAGTAATTACATGTTACCGCTGATGCATGCACCGAATGAAGATACGGCGCTTTGATTGCAGAAATATTAGATTCAGTGAGATCGTATGCGCATAGTTCCTCTTCAAGTAGGACAATTAGCACTTCGACGTCATCACTATTATTTTTATATGTTACGAAAAAGTCAATGACCTTAGATGTAAAATCCAAGCAAATTTTGTGTCCATCGCTGGCATGTATGGAGACACAATTGTGGTCACCATAAGCTGAACGTGGCATGCCGCCGGAAAAAACAATAACGTCGGTCGATCTAAAACAAAACACCAACTTAGGTTTAAATATATATTTTAATTTTCAATTGTTTTTATATTTACCCTCGTTTTCCTTTATACAGTCGATTTATGCTTTTGCACGGGTCAGGGCCGTAAGGAACGTAGTTAACGTTTTTTGGTGGTTCCGCGCTGCTTATGCTCCAAGTAGCGTATGAACCATCAGCATGGTACCAACTGAATTCAGATCCCCTGAAATCCACTGAGAGGCCAACGCTTTGCCCATGGCCTGGTGCTATATATGCTCGTTCCACGGAGGAAGTTTCTAAATCCCACAAAACACACAAACCTCGGTTGTAAGCTATAAGCAGCTTGTTATGGGAGTTTGGAAGCTGACGAATCGATTCAATTGCGCCTGGATTAAGCTTGTAAGCTGGTGGGACCTGCTCTAATACCACATCATGGTAAATTACATGGTCTTTTATTGTAAATGTGTTTAAATCAAGTTGATAGATGTTGCCACCTTCCGTTCCAATCCATAGTAAATCCTTATTTACAGAACAGCACAGGGATGAAACTTTCTTAAGCTTGCCGTCGAACGGAAGTGTTTTAATCGGAAGCAATGTCGTTCCAACTGGCTCCCACAGTATAAGTTGGTTGGCCGCTGTCAAAGAAAGTATGCGACCAGTTCCATAAACCCATTCGAGCAATTGAACATTAAGCTCCGTTGCAGAATTGTTCACCAAAGTATGCTGTCCGTACAATTCGACTCCGGGCTGACCCAAAACTTTCATGGCTCCTGTTTGCGTGCCAATTGCCATGAGTTTGGAGATAGGATCATACGCAAACGCCGATGGTTTGTGTGGAAATCCATGCTGCACGGTCTAAAGAAAAATACAGGCAAAATAAATTTATTAAAATTGTTGTAACTAAGAAATAACATGCGCGTTATAAATCGTTTAAGAACGATTTGTTTTAAGTTTTTAAGCTTGCGAATAAAAATTTCCAACCATTTGAGCATAACTAAGTGGTGTAACAAAAAACTTTGCTTTGCTTATATGTATATACTTCTGCAAAGGGAATAATAATCATTTTAGTTTATGTTTGCATCTTATGTAGAAGATCAACATCACAAAAAAAAATCTTAAAACTGGCTTGTTTAAAATATACATAATTAAACTTGGCAATTATTGTGCTCTGGATGTAAATAAATTCTTTCTACCTAAAATTTGTAATCTGTTTGGAGTCTTATTAGTATCAACTGTTCCTATCTACTTAAACATTTATTGTTCTTTGATATGGACGTTTTTCTGTAGCCTATCATTTTACCAAGCCCATTTAACAAATAAAGTTAATCTTATCAACTACAGTCCCTTTATGTTCCTGGGTAGTGACTAATCTTTGGCCTGATAGCGTTGTGTGATTTTACTTGATCAAACAAAAGTACATACACAAAAAGCTAAAAATATTGCTCACTAATTTTAAAATACCGAAAATTCTTTTAAGTTACCGTAAATAAGAGAAATATGAAATATGTGTGTCAATAAAAAATATCAAACCATAGCATTGTATGTTAATGTTATGAATCTAAAAAGCTTTAAAGGCTTTGGCTTGCTAAAACCGTATTCCTTTCTTGTTAGTTAATTAAAGAAATTTGGTAAAGATAAACGACAATTGACTTGTTCAGGTCAAAGTGCGCAGTAACATTAAGAATAAATAGAATGATGTCATTGAATATATGTACATAAACATTAACAATGAGTTGCCCCGAATGGGCCTTATTTACAAGAATAATTGTAGTGTTCAACTATACATTTTTGTATTTTCTCATTGTTAATTTTTAAAGACTTTTGTCTAACAAATTTTTAAGTTGTGGAACCTTTTTATAAGAAAGCGAAGAATTTTGAAAATAAAGTAAACGAAATGATGTAAGCTGTTGCGTTGAGATAGGTAAGCCACAAACGATATACATATACATACCTTACGATAAGCAAAAAGGTCTTTCTGTAGGCGTTGCCTTTCTGCGCTGGGCTGCTGACCCTTTCCTCGGATAAATTTTAACATATTTTTAACTTTCAAAAAAAGTTGACCGTCGAGTGGTAAGTCTTCAAAGCGTCCTTGCTTAAATTTATCTGAAAATAATTAATTAAAATTTTATTCTCAAAAAAAGCTAAATGAAAGTTATTCAACTAATTTACATACATAGAAAAAGTATCCAAAAATGTATTGTTCTGAAATTTTGTAATAAAACAAAAAGAAACCTAAAAGTTGGTTTTTAAAAGTTGCCAAGCAAGTTGTGTTGAGTTTTACAGTGAATGTAAGAGAATTGTGTTGTCGGCGACTGGAACGTTGAACAGTTTTATTAGTAAATATATATATACATACATATGCAAATAAAATATATGCAACCATATATAAAAACGTTAAATGCAAAAAGTAAGCCTGCTGGATTCGTACTTTTTCTAAGGTGTCTACATAATTACATACATATATATTTCATGTTAATAAACTCGCTTTGCTGCGTTGCACATGAAAATTAACTCGCAATAGTATAAATGTAAGATTTTATGTTTTAGTGGGTAAGTGGGAGATAAATCGATTGAAATACCACCACATCAGAAAGTTGAAATAGTTTTTAGATTTGTGTGATAACAAAAATGTTAAGTAAAACCAACAAACCAACAATTGAAAGTGCATGTGTGCTAAGCGATGACCTAATTTAAAGTACGTTGCCGATCAAAGTGGTTAACCAACCTGCGATTTTAAGCCCGCATTTTTTCGTTCTTTCAGATATGCCCAAATAGACACACATAAACTTAGCATAGAAAACCAGTGAACCTGAGGAGGGAGTACCGACTATAAAGTACCCCTCCATTGTTTGTCTACCCTTTGTCTACTTAGATATGTATATACACCCGCACATGGTTATTAAGGCCGCATAGCTCCCTCTTGCAATATATGTTTCAATACAAAATACCCTCCAATCTGCGAATGGCAGGTATAACAAGAAAACCCACAACAAAATGACAAAAGTGGACTGTTTGCGTGGCTGACTCACCGAATACGCGTACTCGAAGAAAACATAGATACTTATGTACACTATGCTAGAAGAAATACTGTTTTACACTAATTAACGATCCACATTTCATAAAAACAATTTTACCTTGTGCAATTTTAGCCAGTTATAATACTATTTTATTTCCTTGCAGAGTTAAGGCGGTGGCTTCTGAGTAAAACGCTTGATTACTTTTCTGACACACCTACATAAATGTGCATGTATGTGAGGGACGCTCGCTCCAGTTACATTTACTTACGCTCAATAACTTAACAAGTAGAGCAAACACTGATAACGAAATATGTCGATTTTATAACGAGCATGCGAAGCTATGTACCTAGCACTTATTTTAATCGACTCGAACTATTTCTTTAACAGAAAATGGGACGCGCGGCGTCATTTTCAACACAAAGTCGGCGATCACTTGAAGCTGGCTAGAGCTGAAAGAACAAATGATTATATCGATGTTTTTGCAGCCCTAGTGTTTTAAATGACAATCGATGATCCTTGTTAGAAGCAGTGTTGCGAAGACTAGTCGCACAGGGTGACTCATGTTAGTGTTACCGTTCACTAAATATTTAAAACTTGACAACTTAACGGTTTTTTAAATAGAGAACAACAATTATGGCTTAAGCTGAAAGCAAAGTTAAGCTGTTTTTTTATACTATAGAAGATAAAATTTGTACCACTTTGGTCGCAGCGGGAGCCCTTTAACCTGAATGCGATGCCCACCATATACACATATATAGAACGTCGTGTAAAATCCTTTCTTTCCATTCTTTTCCTTTCCTTTATTTTTAAAAATTTGTGCATCCTTAAGTTGGCTCTTTTTTTAAATTGTGTAAGGTGGAAAACAATTTTTTTTGCAGTTATTAACATCCGCCCATCCTTAAGTTGTGTATGATGGGCAAACGACTCTTTTGCAGTTCGAAAAAAAAACACATTAATTTTTGTAGGGTAAGAACCGGCCATAATGTTTAATAAACATTAAGAAGTTTATGAGAAAATATCCAAATAATTATAATAAAGGGCATCAATAACTTTGACGAATAACGGTATATATTTATATTCAAAAACAATTAAATACGATCCCGGCCGAAAGACAAGTGTCTTTAGCAAGTTTTACTTTCACCCACGGACAACAGCTGCAGGCTCTTTGGTGAGAAATGTAGAACGATCCACACGCATTCCGGCTGAACAGCCTCGGGTTGATCTATGTTTTTACGAACTGCATGCTTGGTACTGGCGTATATGTTGTTGCGAGGCTGAAAAGATTTTAATGTGGGTGTCGGTATAATTAGAAGTGCCGATTGGGCAGCTAAGGGAAAAGCTAGTATTATTTTCTGTTAACCTTTCACTGAAGAATCGACTGCAAACCAATACGTACACCAAAAATTATGAAATATGCCTCAATAATCTCCGTTACCAAAACATGGTGTTTGGAAATGATTATTAAGTTTTAAAAATCATGTGCGTAAAATTTAAGTTTAACAAAAAACTGACAAATAGTATACTTTTTTTAAGTTTTATGGATAAGACCAGACTGCTTCGGCGACAAATTATGACGTACTGTTAACAATCATTACCACACATCCTGATATACAGTGGCGGATTTACCAATAGGCAACATAGGCAGCTGCCTAGGGCGGCAAATTTTTAGGGGCGGCAAATTTCGACTGTTAACACTACATAAAATACTACTTTTTAATAGACACAAAAAATTTTTACTCTAAGGTCTTCAACTTTAACATATTGTTCAATATACTTCTTTTCGCTGCCGCGAACACGCGGAAATTCAAACGCACAATCATTATAACCGAAAATTGCCGTGCGTTTGAATTTCCCGCGCGTTCGCGGCAGCCATCGAGTAGTTCGAGTAGTTCGACCTTTGCTGAAAAAAGCCAAATTTCAATGTGGAAATTCATGCAACCGTGTAACACAAGGTTAATAAAACAATGATATAAAGGTGAAAATTAGGCTGCAGTCTAGGGCGGCAAAATCAAAACTGCCTAGGGCGGCAAATTGTCTTAATCCGCCCCTGCTGATATAAACATACATACAGATATATGTATAAATAAAAGGAGGTGATATCTCTATATTGGTCAGCTGTGATGACGCCAGATTTGATTATGTGCGTTTTACTCCAGGGTTGGGCCTTTTCGCCGTCGACGTCTTAAGGCATTTAGAGCTATCACATAAATATGCGGGTTGTGTATTTAAACGCAAAACATTAATTACTTTGCAGCCTTAAATTATTTTAACTTATTGTCCTCATTTGGGAAATACAGCATACCGTCGATTGCAATCTGCATCCGCGATTAATTTGATTTAATTCCCTATTAGTACATTGAAAAAAAAATACTTGCAGCTGTATCGCAATGGTATGTCCACAGGCGATGCAGTCTGGGACGCCTCCGCTCTTTTCGTGCTGAACTTTTGTGCCAGAAACCAAAGACACTTGAGCGACAGATGCCACCAAATGCGCCACCACCCATCCAAACGTTGCCAAAAAGAATCTGCCGCCGGGTACAAAGTCCAATTAATGACATTCCGACAAGATGTTGCTTCGAGTCCTGCGCCGAGATCGCCACACAAATATATGCATCCGAACATCTTAATGAATCGGTTTGTAGAGCAACGCCAAAATGCTATTCTAATTGTCTACATATTTCACGGCTGGCGCCAATTGTCTTTTATGTGCTGTGTGGCATCAGCTTGTTAGATCTATAGAATTCGGATTTCGAGAAGCTATACTACCTGGTGGCGATATTTTACATAAGCATTTTAAACAGTGCATACTTACATCATTTTGATTATATTATATATTATTGTATGATAGTATATATATGTATGTGGATAGGGGCGGACACAGAAAAAAATTTTGGGATCTCCGATCCGCAAATTTTTTAGTTTTGGGGGGGTCCGGTCCGATTAAAAAATTTTTTAGTTTATATGGTTGAAAGACCGTGTGCTGTAAGGGAATTTGAAAAAGTCTGAGATTTTGGGGGGTCCGGACCCCCCGGTCACCCCCTCTGAGTCCGCCCCTGTATATGGAAGAAGTTAGGCAGATTCAATAAGCTCCTTTCATTGCAAGTTGGACATAACTATCATATTTAACACTCGATATTCAATTAACGGTTTTTCTTAATGCGAAAAATGCACTTTTAAGGCGAAATTAAATAATTATTCATATTGCCGAGGGAACATGACGATATCGTGTTAATCTAATTATAAGTTACTATTTTTATTCAATAGTCAATACTATTTTTAGTAGACACGCACAAATAAAACCATATTAATTAACTATCTAGCACCTTTCGAGGTGCCAAGATTAAATCATTTTGCGCAGTGCCAGACAGTCTGAAGTGTGTGGTAAATCAAACAAGGAAAGAAAACGACCTCACCAATCCGAAGCTATTTACTATTGCAGTGATATCAAATTTTAGATATTCTAAAATATTTATTCTACCACGATTCTAAAAAAAGTGAATCAAAATGCGAATGTGGGTGAGGAGTAGAATACTACAACATCTTGCCGTAGTATAAAAATCTGCACGATAGTCCGATAGAAAAAATTGTAACCAGTTCAAAAGATATTGTCTTCGGTTCGAGGTCAGCGCACATACAAACACATGCCTAAACGAACTATAATCTATTTTTCTTTAATACTTAGCGGCAGAGCTTCTTTGCCACTCACTAAGCAAAATCTCAACCAAACTTAGTAGATTCAAATTAAAACCATTTATATTATATCGGACATTATATGCGATGTATTAGCTACAACCATTCAGTCCTATGCCAGGGTCCCTTTACCTGCTGCTTAGCTCCGCTTCACTGGATATCTTTCCAAATGCACCTGAGAAGCCCAACCGCACGTTGCAGTTATTAATTTTGGCAGGACATCGCCGATCAACAGCGAAGCCCGCCAGCACATCAGCAGCAGCAGTGGCAGTTGGTCTGCGCCTTTTCCTGACAAGGTGTCTCTAAAAGAACACAGACGGCTGAATACAGACCACTGAAAGGAACGACGGAGCTTTTCGTGCAAACACATACACAGGGAAAAAGTACCAAAAACTCGTAAAGGGATAGGTGAAGATTGAGAAGACATTACCAAAAATGTGTTGGTGTGTTGTGTCTCATTGTACCATTTTTTATAAAAAAAAAAAACAGTTGAAAATATTTTCCTTATGTTTATGCAGAAACTATCAGCTTTTGGATTTCGAATTCGGGCGCATAAACAGAGCAACAGATGTTTTCGGCACGCAAATAAGGAATTCAAACCAGTTACTGAGCCGGCGACAAGCAGAAGCGGCGAATGCGAATGCGCCAACATTGGCAAATGAGTGGTTAACAGCCCGAGACCATCGCAGTGGCATGGTGCTGTATGGGATGGCATGTGGCAGCATGGGCGTACTGAGGGGGCCGCTTTTAGTGCGGGAGCGCTTCATCCATGAGCTGGGTTTCCGGCTACGCTTATGCGTGACAACGTCAAGGCGCGACCACTGCAAGCATCTGGTCGGTCAAAAACCAGACACGATCGATGGCCTGGACCTGTTGGCTGCTTTACTTATTTGCATTGCGTTTATGACACTGCAAGCGCGCTGCCGAGGCCAAGACACCCAGCTGTGCATCTGGCGCCTGCCAAAATTTAACCAAATCGTCTTCTGTCTGGCTCTTTGTGTGTTGACTACAAAAATGAATATTTCTGTACACCAAAAGGCAGATCAACAATGCAGTTTTATGACAAGGATTTTCGACAGCACAATAGCAGTGAGTGCATTACGGGTCTCTCGAGGACAGGTACAGCAAATCCCTAATACGTCAAAATGTTTGCTTGGCCTATTGCGCTATTCACTTTCGCAAGTGCCCATATTGCTTGAAAAGTAAAAAGGTTACTTTTAACCTCCAATACAAATTGCTTCGACTTGCTAAAGCCATTCTCGGCACAGCGGACAAGCGAATCTAAAATATGTTTGCACTCATTGCGGAACTCAGCATGAGTGACACAGGGCTCCAAAAACAAGAGTGCCTCAGAGTTCTATCAAAGAACTGAAAGTGCACACATTAACGGATATAAATAGACAGTTTTGAGGCGCACGACATACCAGCATGACCACATGCTAAGACATTATATTAAGTAACTTATTCCTGGTTCCAATATGGGGCTGCGGGCCTATTGGCTTCTTTAGCTTTGAGCGATCTCGACTTTCGTATTAACAATTTTCTCTGCTGCTTTTGTGTAATTTCACGTGCACAGAAGTGTTTGTATTTTTGTAACTTGGGGGCAAATGGTGGCAATCGAAGCAGATACGGTCAACTGAAAGACCAACGCTTTGCTTACTTTTTTCTGATGCGCTCGCGGGTGTTTTTGTTCCAGGAGCGTGGGAATGACTAAAGTGGGGAAGTCTGAACGCAGTGAATTTTCATGTACCTGCTTATTTTCTTGCGTGCAAAATCCTTTACAAATTGCTTTGTGGGGGTTGTCTGCGATGTGTCTGGTCGGCAGTTCTGATTTTTAACTTTTTGACATTAATAGCGTACTTTGAGGTAACTGATTGCGTATCATGGGTATGATTTCTGGCACGCAAGTTTTATACATTCAATGCTGCTGCTAAGTTTTGCTTGCGGCTATCACGTTTTTGGCATCATGCATACGAACACCATAGATCTAAAGATTTTGGGCTCCCAGCCTTTGAACCTCTAAGAATATTTTCGCATAACCGCACATTTCTCTGCGGATCGCATTTCCTAATATATTTATGTACAAGTACTTAGGTTCTCATAGGCTCTCACGCTTTTTCTTCAAGCCAAGAATATTAAAAGACATGTAGTGTCCATTCTGAGCACAACTGGGTGGAAATTTCACACGTTTTGCATTTAAGGATATGTATGTTTTTCCCATCCTTCTGGTCAGCATATGTGCATTGCCGCCGCCAGCGGCGTTTCCATGAAAAATTGCAAATCTGGCTGACGTCGCAAAGGTCACAAGGCACATGGGCGTACCCCTGGGCCATGCGCAGTACTCAGCCCATGGTGAGGGTCCAGATTGAAATGTAACTTACGAATAATATTTTGTTAATTAAACCCCGACACCAACTCCGATATAAACATACATTTTTAGGAAAAACAAAACTGTATAATTTGGGAAGAAAAGGGGTCGTCCCCCTGGCATCCGCCTCTGATTGGGAGCACATATGTTGGCACAGACTTTCAAAGTGCCTTATCCGCCTAATGTGACTCAGCCTCCCATATGTTCCATTCATATTCATATGTATGTATGTGATTCTGCAAATACTTTTGTTTTTTTAAAAGGCAGCTTTTCATATATCATTGCAATACCACCGCTTTGTTGAATTTTAAATAAGTGGGAGTATAAGTAATTCAGAAGTGCAACAATCAAATGTCGGACAGAAGGTCCTTGTTTCCAATATTTTATTAAAACCATGTTTTTGGATACTGAGTTAGGACAACTTTATTATCAATCGAGTATGCCGAAGAGTCGGTTATCTGAATCTCGTTATCACGTGCCAAGGCCGGTGGCTACTTGCACTTCAACCCTTATTACGAAACGTAACAAGAAGAAACGTGACGTCACCTGCGGGAACATGTGCATATTACGGAATCGTTACGTTCTTACTTGAAAAACATTTGTACGTATGTGTGCTAAGGGCACACATTTGGGATGCATGGGTTGTGCGTAGAGTCTTAAACTATTGATTTCCCAATATGAGCAGTTCATTATTTAACCGACCAAAAAAAAGGAGCAAACTGATTATCCTTAACGTAAGCTTACAAAAATGTACATATGTACAAAATACAGCAGGAAATAGATATTTAGTATGGAAGTTCTAAGAATCGCGTACTACCTGCCTTCAGTGGGTATTTCCAGAAATTTATCAATTGCCCAGGCGTCTAGTGAAAAGATTGGCAAAGGACAAAAATTAGTCCAAGCACTCTGAAAGCAATTAGTGATCGGGTCGCACCCTACTCCTCGCTCGTAGCGCCATGTCCAATCTGTGCAGGTAGAAATACCTGCATTCTACCACACTAATAAAAATTATATTATGTATTTATAATAATAGTTACCTTGTTTTCCCAGTTACATTTTTTTCAAAATCGTTGCTGGCAGACATGCAAAACGATGTGTAGAAGCCAAATTCACTTGTATAACCCCGTTACTTGAGATTTGTGCAGAAGCCAAATCAATATCTGCAACTTAAGTAAATTAAAAAAAATTGTTCAAATAATTCCGAAGTAATTCTAGCCGGGGCTAAAAGAAAAAAACTTTATTTTTAGGCGACAGATCAAATTTCGCCATCACGTTCACGGACCATTTTTGGGTCCAGCTCCTTATCCTTGAACTTCCAGCTTGACAAAAGAAAACGACAAAAAGACTGGATCCCGACGGTAGCTAAGCGGACTCTTCAGGTTGCTACTCCGGCAACTGTAAAGCCAGAGCCTGATCAATCGAAAAAACAGGTTAGCCTGCAGCCCAATCGCAGTGGTATAGAGCAAGACAAACCTTAAAAAAACGAAAGTCATCATTCAAAAGTATTTCGAGCGGCAGCCAGGAACTCGTGCCTGTCTACATCTGCTGGAAATATCATGCAGGCAGACAAAAAGAATCTAACAATATTAGTCTTAATGTTATAGTGGCGTATAAAAGCATGATCTGCAAAATACAAACTTATTCGTAGAATTTAATTTTTTTGAAGCCAATTTCAGGAAAGCAAGTACAGTTTGTTAAGAAGAAGGATAAACTTTAAGCCTATAAATTGGTATAAAAAGGTACTATTAAACAAGTTCATCCCTATACCTTTTCGTTCCTCAATAGCTTAAGTAGGAAAGTAGATTTTTTAATTGAAATCTGTTTGGTAAATCACATGCATTCGAAGTTTTTCATTCATAAAACTGATGTAGCGGTAGTCAAACATGTTTGACAGCGAACAGAATCAAACCTCTGTTGGTCGTCGCAGTTGTTGGTGTTGCGAACTCTCGCCTTACATTATGCCGCTATTAATATTTTATAAATTACATTTTATCATAGGTGTTTTAACATTTCTTCCCTAAAAAATCTTAAGTTACAACAGATTTTTCCTAGCTAAGACTTATGGCACCCAATTTTATTCACTGGATACGCATTTTAATGGAACAAGACTCTTTGGCCAATTTATTTTAGCAAAATGAGTTTCATTTAGCCCTATTGAAAGTGACCTACAGTTCCCATACATTTCAGAACGATGCCTTAAATAGCTGAATCAGCAACACTGGTAACCAAACGCAGTTCGACCGCGTGCTGCTTTTAGCATGAAGCCGGCCGCAGGCCCAGACACTTTTAATCCGTCAGATACTTTTGTTGTGAACGGTCGTGCTCCGGTCGCATGAGTAAGCAAGATATAGTGAAAATAAAAAACCGAGAAGAAAATTGTAAGAACCTACAGATTGTGCCCAAGTCCATATAGGCTCTGTTCGTATTTTCAATTGAGGCAGTGCAGGCTATAGGAACTGCCATAAATACCTTATGTGAAATATATAACTTAGTTAATGTTGACATCAATTCAGCTTTGGCAAACAAATTTATAATACTTACCGAAAAGCCTTGTTTAAAACCGAGTGGTACACATTTTGGATTACGGTCTTCCTTTTATCGGTATTGGATTAACGTTGTTGCGACTATGGCGACTATCAACCCAGAAAAACTATACATGCAACTAAACGCATCGGAATTAGCGGCAATTATTATGAAAGGTGAGTAGAAAGCACGCAAAAGACAAAAGACAGTGCCACCTGTTGTCTGCAAAATCTGCACCGCCTGCATTTAGATACAAGCAAATGCTAAAAAAAAGATGTTACGCAAACACATATGTTATTTCTTGTGCCGTAGTTAATTTCATTATATTTTTGTCAAACTTAAACCATTCTCCGCAATATATGGATTAATTGGCTTTAGAGCTGGGCAAACGGTTTTAAAATCGACAACAATGGCAAATTCTGTCCTTAGGAAAAGTAGATGTTGTATAAAGCCATATGACAAAATAAGTTCGCTGAAGATAACTTCCGGAACATACATTTAATGGGCAGATGCGCAGCAACCCTGTGCAATGTACGCCCCCACCGACTCAAGCGATGCAGCATAATCACAAAAGTAGCAGTCTTTTGAGGGTGGCAATTTAGGTACAGACAGATACGTAAACAACGCCAACTATTTGTCGCCACCGTCGTTCAACTTGGGGTTTGTGGCGCATATGTCAGCCAGGCACTTTGCGCATATTGGCAATTTGTTTGTCTGCGGAGCTTGAGCTCCAGTTGGCCTTAGCAATGTGTATCCTTTTCACTGGTGGCGTGTCCCTATGCTCAACCCATAAGTAATCACGAACTTTTATTCCACTATGAAACAGCCTAACACGTTTATTTTTATATATTGCCGATAACTGCAGTTTTTAAAAGTGTAGAGTGGCTTTAGTTTAATTGGGATCAAAGCCACCATATTTTCAACCTTTTATTATATAGTTGTACACAATATTAGTTGTTCAATAGTTCTCCGCAAAGTAGTGATGGGCTTATTTTTATTCGAGAGTCACGTGAAGTTCGGAAATTAGACGTAGGATGTTTAATTGGTCACCTACAAGGGTCCTCGCCAAGTAAGTCACCATACTGCATCATATGCTTGAGTTGTTGCGATTCATTCATAAAAGTGATGCGTCACTTTACTACAATATACACCATATAGTCGTTTTAACATACAAACTTTTATGTACGTACCAGTATATGTGCTTTTTGTTTTGATAAGATGAGGCTTCCCACAGAGGGAACGCTTCCCAGTGGACCGACCGTCAGCCAAAAGCCGCCTATGATGATAACCTTTCATTGACTTTTGGCGTGAATATGGGATTTTCTTATGTCTCTGACAGTTAATGTCTGCCGTTTTAAAGTAGGTTTTAGCTGATTTTTACAGGAGGGCATTCATTCTTAGAAAAAAGGCAAATAACTGGAGAACAGTTGCCAATTTTTAACTAGAAGTTTCGAGATTGGATTTAATACCTGAAGACGCATCGGCTGCATTAAAATAAAGTGTCTTTTGGACCTTAAAAGGGGCTATAACGGGCGTCGAGCAAATATAGTAGGGACTTAGTCTAGACTTGCTCTTGATTTTGGTCGCATCTTTGAACTTCTGGTAAGGGAAACTTTAAATCTAACAATGTATCTGTTGTGCACAGGTGTTTTGGCTTAGACGATGCCCGCGACAACGACAACGTAAAGTAAACATTTTTCTAAATATAAATTAAATTGCTGAATAAAACCCGCCCAAGACAAGTGATGAAGTTGGAGCTATAGCACTGCTGCTGTTTGTACAGCCTGATTTCGCGGCCGCAGTGTTAGTCAGTTGCTTATACTTTTTTCGTTGTTTATTTTCTAAAATTAGAAAAGATAGGAGAATATCGTGCTTATAAATAGTTAGGTCAACATGGAAAAAGCATATCCACTGAAAAATGTAACCATACCACTCATGTTGATGGTGTAAAGAAATTAGGCTGTGCAAAAGCAGGGAAATTGAAATGTTATAATAAATCATTTGTATATACGTCTCTACAAACTAAAATATATACATGAAAGCCCAGACGTATCAAGATATGACAGAGAACGTTATATTCTGAATTGCAAAGCGAAACAGTGAACACTTCGCTTGCCCGAATCGACAGCTGTTTCTGTAATTAGCTTCTGTTTTTCTATTGAACATATCAAAATACCTATATATAATATAATATATCCTGGCTGAGTTAAGCCCTTGCACTTTGCTCTCACCTAGCTGTTTTAACCGTGAAAAAAGACATGCATGTATGTATGCTTGCTTATATTTTTTGTGATTTTATAAACAGCTTACTGGGTTGTTGGCTCCTGATGCAGTGGCTCGGCTCCCTGCTGCTGAACTTGAACTGCCTTCATTCGCCAGACGCGAAATAAATTACTTTTAACAAGTAAGCTGTGTTTAAACACTTCAATACCTGTGGAGGTCAGTGGTAAACTGACGTGGCTGGAAACAGGTTTCGTTTTCGTGATTAATGCATAATTTCACTTTACATTCTTGTCTTCACTCGCTTGTACTTGAAGACTTAAATGCATTAAGTAAAAGTAAATCATAGTTTCTCAGGACATTGAATGCGACATTAGGAGGTACATATTTAGCCGTTATTCAACATACGTAACTTGGTATTCGAGGAGCTTGTAAAAAATTTATGATTTGGTAGTTAATAATATTGAACAGAATAGGTGTCCCACAATGGCATACAACTCTGTTAGGCAGTCTGTTCCGCGAAAACGGGGGTTTTTTTAATTTACCAATACAAAATACCTAACATTAGTAACCGGTTAGGTATAAAACGTCACAGATAGAAGACAACTAACTCTTTTTTTTCGCTATTTTTAGGTTCACCCAATTCCAACGACCGTGATGCGGGCTTTTGTTCCGCCAGTTCGGAAAGCGAAGGCGGAGACGATCTGGCCAATGACCACACGCGCAGTGGCAGTCCCGACATCGGAACACAAGGAACACACGACTCGGCGGACTTTAGACCAATACCTCTTGTCCGCAACAAACGCAAGAGCACGGAGCCCTCCAAAGTTGTGGATTCTTCGACATCCGCGGCAAGCTCGATGCTTGGTCCTCCATCTAGTGCGAGTATGCATGCTACTGGCCCGCTCAAAAAACGTATACGCTACACGTCGTCTGCCGATTCAGCGGTAATGCTGACACCTCCTGCCATAGACTCCCCACCACCCAACAGTTGTTTGCCTGCTACGCCGAGCTTGGAGTACGAAATGATGCCAAACCCGGCCCACATATTTGTCAGGCATCCGGGAGTTACCACTCTGCACCGACCGTTGGCTGATCATCCGGAACAGCTAGAACCACTTGCCCTTGTATCCAAGAAAACTCAACGCGTCCAAAATGCGGCACAAAAGACGGATATTTGCTCTAACCTCCTAAGTGAAAAAGCAGCAAGTTCTAAAAAACCGCTAAAAAAGGCGCCAAAGCTATCAACTGCATCAACATTGCTGGACGCTATTCCAAACGAAGACGAGCCGAGCAGGGCGGGCTTGGGGTCTGACATGTCTTCCTCCCGGTCCCACCAGCACCAACGCAACTACAAGAACATGACCAGGGAGCGCCGCATCGAGGCAAACGCTCGTGAGCGGACCCGTGTCCACACTATATCTGCCGCCTACGAGACGCTCCGCCAAGCCGTTCCAGCTTACGCGAGCACTCAAAAACTATCCAAGCTCTCCGTGCTGCGGGTGGCCTGCTCGTACATACTGACGCTGAGCAGGATGGCTGGCGAGGACTACAGCGCTGATCAGTCGGAGCCCTCCATTGCTGAGTGCTTGGAGGCCGTAACTTCGACCATTCAAACTGAGGGGAAAGTGAAGCGGAAGAAAGACGAGTGAACTGTCTAACTTGGTCGATTAGGACGCGTTTTAAGACTTAATGCGACTGATTACTGATAACCCATTACTGATTACTGCTACTACTTCTTATAACAAAGTGTGCTCGAACTTAGGCCTATCCTTCATTCAGCATTCCTACCTAAACGCCCTGAGTCTTAAAAATAATTGGGGTCACAAGTGGCCAAATAGCTTTAAAAGTTTTCCAGGCTCTGTCAGGTTAGACAACCCATATAAGTTTAAGTAGACGGAAAACTAACCTTTTTGGGTATGCATGCATACAAATTGTTCATATTCATATTTTTAGAGTAATATACCAGCGATGTGATCCTAATTTTAAATCGCTTTTTACTGAAACGTGTTATGCAGTACAAATATTAAGCACCAACAAAATAAAAAGACAATAAGCGTTTTTATTAAACCTTAAAAATTATAAATACATATATACATCTACAATGTTTTATCAAGATTTTGTTTTAAACAGAATTCTTGTTTAAATATATAAGCTTTTAACCAGGAAATGAATATAAAATTATCTTTGAAAAAACTTCACTATACTTTTTTGACATTTATAATTAAATGTGCATTAATAAAAACATTTACCCGTACCTCTTAACCATAAACCCTATACAATTTGTTAATAAGCAATAATGTGAGAAGTTATACAGTTTTTATTCTTCTATCAAGAAGATAATGCATATGAAAAATTAAAGATTTTAGCAGTTAAATTCTTTAAAATCTAACTTAGGCTTCGTTTAAGACTACCTTCTGAACCAAATTGAAAGCAAGAAAAAATTTAGTCTGTGTGTATAACTATAGTCTTTTACTCCAAAACTGTAATCTCATTGTTTTACACGTAAGTGCCATAAAAGCAGAAAATATACAAATCTGACTGAAAAGGAAATGTATTTTTATATTGTGTTAAGGAAGACGGGTAGGTAGGCGTTAACCTATTAGTCATTTGGGTGCTCGAGTACTTAAGATTGAACACAAGCACAAAAACCATATGGAGGTAAAAGAGTTGGGGGTAATTTATGTCTATACGAAAACTAATCTTATCGTTTGCAACAAGCTATTTGGTGGTATTATAAACTCAACAGGTGCGCACAGAATGGCAGGCGATCGATTTAAGTACACCCGAACGCATCCGTGTTATTATAAACGCGTTTTGGCACCATAGTCCCCTTATCAGTTCAGAAATATATTTGCTAACTTATCTAGCGGCACAAAGTTTACCGATATCACGGTTAGTTAATACAGTGCATTCGCACTCATGACGTATTCAGAAACGACCCAAACCGGTTAACTATGAAATTACGAATTCCGACTGGCTGCATCTACCTGACCCAGTGCAATATCTAGTACAAATTACATCAGCTAAGAATCCTATATAAAACAGGTTAGTTACAGCGGTTTCTAAACAGCATATGATAAGTAAAGCATAGGCGTTATTCAACGAAAGCCAGATGGTTAAGCAAGTTTTTAAACACCCATTCGAAATTACCCGCATTCTCTATGCACTCAAAACGGTTGTTTATTAATATCAATTTAATATATTGAATCAACGATCTTTTAAACATTTGGCGCATGATAAATCAATTTGTCAATAATAGAGTTCACTGAGTTTATTTTTATTATATTTTACAAATATATTTTTTACTATTGCAGTTTTTTAAAAACCCAAGGAAAGCTGATGTAATCACTACAATATATTGCAAACCCGCCAGTTAAACTGATGTGATCCCATATCTACATAAAAGCATTACCCAAAGAGCGTTTATGTATATTTCGTATTCGTTATTTTTATTGAAAATTCTTGTACTCAAGCTGATGTTCGGCGCTCAGGCATTTCAATAACGTTTAAGATATTGACATCTGTTGCCATGCTTAGCTTAATGAGTCGACTTTTGATGCCGATGCAAAAATTAGCATTTGTGTAAACAATATAAAAAAGTAAACTACGGTAACTCGGTGCATCACATGTCGTGGCGAGATATTGTTTTAGTCAGAGCAAACTGAGAAATTGTTAAGTAAATATTGGCTTTAACGTCGTCTAAAAATACCACATCCAAATGTAGTTGCAGCTTTAAGTTATAGCAGACGTCAAATATTGTCGCACCTGTCACAGGTGTTGGAGACGTCGGTCTATTTCGGGGCAGTTGCCAGTTGCGCGTGTGCTCCCCATCGCGTTGCTGCGAGGGTGAGCCGAACAACTACGTATCGTCTTGGCATCACATGCTGAGCGGATAGGCGTGATCTTTTCATTAAATATGCGTAAAAATTAGCACTGCCAATGCTGCATGGACTACTTTGATAATTAACCAAAAATTTACTACTCGTTTAAAGGAAGGGTTAAAAATAGAAGCCGGCTTATTGTTTACATGCTAAATTGCTTGGTTTTGGTTTTTATTTGAGCTGTAGCTATTCTCGGCTTGGAAAATGTGTGAGTAGCTTGCACTTCGAGCTTGATACTACAATACCTCACTGTGCAATATAAGTAATTGTATTGACTTATTTAGTTTTTTCTTGTTGAAAACATAACAGTGGATTTTATGCCCTTTGGGAATATTTCTATGCACAGCCGATCAATTATACGTGTTGATTGTGTATATTTGACGTTATTTAAAAAGAAGCAATGTAAAATACCATAGTAGCGCGAAAGGTGTGATGTTAGGAAAAGATGTGAGAATGTGTGTCTGGGGCCTAGTCGCTCAATTACTTGTTGGCGCCTCGATCACAAGGCACCAGTGACAATTTTAAAAAGAACTCAGACAGGCGGTCTTGCTGTAGTGCCATTGTTGACCAAACAAAACCTTAAAAAATAAAGGAAAGAAAATAAATGAAAGCTATTAGGCGACTCGGCGCGACGGATATTCTTTATTGCAGGCTAAATGCATGTCAAGTACTTCTCGTGTGATACATTTAAATTAAAGCCTTTTATTTGCCTTAACTCTTTCAATTTTATTCCGATTTCGAAGTGGCGTACCTCTAAAAGTTTGATTCAAAATATTTCGTTTTTAAACGGTCGACATTTTCACCCCGGTCCATGTCCGATTTTACCAAGTTATCAATGAATTACGGAAGGGGGCTTAAGACTGCACAATTCCTATCCATAACTTACGCAATTTTAATGCGATTACAAAGTGGCATACCTTTAAGTATTTGTAGTTAAATTCTTGCAGTTTCTGCAGTTTTTATGCATTCAAAATTTGCCATTTATTGATGATTCATTTTTGACACCAATTCATGTCCGATTTTTTCTAGTTTACGATGATGTGCAAAAAGGGGGCCCTAAACTGCATTTTATAACAATTTTACCATACAATTAGTAATAATAATATTACAATTTTAAATGTGGAAACTTGAGCAGTCGATTTATTGAAGAAATTTTGTTTAACCCGCTCATGTCCTCTTTTGCCAAGTTTCGATTATACGCAGGACACTCTTTTATAAGAACTGTATTCACGACTTCAAAAACATGTTAGGGTTTGGTTTTAAAAGTTCCATTGACCAATATACGTATATAGTTGAATCCTTCCTTATTCCTGAAAAATGTACCTAAACGACTGCAAGATGACGTCGTCTATTTGCGCACAGCATTTGACGTTGCCTAGTGGAACCATTTGTGACGACTTTCACCCTGGTCATCCAGGACTGAATTCAGACATGCGCAGTTCTTTGGCGCCAGCAGGTCCACAAGGTCTACACAATATATTTAGCTAGAAGAATTTATTATACAACTTCCACTCCTCTGTCTGAGCCACACTCAAAGCAGAATGTGTAGCATAAATGTGGGTAGCAAAAATCCACTCGACTTGATCAAGCTGTCATATAGAACGTTTAATTCTTCGGCTTTATATAGTACACCGATACTTTACCGGTGCCTTTTGTCACTACATAAGTTAATTATATTTTTGCGAATAAATAAATGCTTACACCCTAGAACTGTTAACATCTCAAAATGTAGTAGTCGGCTCGGCTCGACTCGGCCGCAATTAAATCACTAAAATCGATGTCTTTCATTGAGCATTGAAAACATAAGGAGGGTTCAAAAAACAAAGCAAGGAGCAAAGAATCAGACGCCGACGCCGCTGGCTACTGGTGGACGGCATGGAAGCGGCAACACCGAAAAAGGATGCGGTCGAACGATGTGTCCAACTACCATTTAAAAATATGCAATCAAACGAGTGTAAGATTGATCTCGAGCGATGTTCTGAGAAATCGGGAGCCGGTGCTCCAGTCTGATCGTTGGACCCTTTGTTGGAGGTGCACACATTCAAACATGTCGGTATAAAAACAGCATTTTTAAACCAGAAACGAGCGCTCTAAAATGTATGTTTGGATAAATAAGCAACATCTTTCGATTTCGTAAGTTTAGCGCTGCCTGAAAGGGTTAGCGACAAGCTTTTATAAGCGAAAACGAACAAATCATAGCTGAAACGTCGATCCTAGTCGGTGCTTTCAGTCTTCAAGTGTCCTTGTTATTATAGGCATATAAGGTCTGCTGTCATTTCTGTGGCCTGTAATTGATTCTGACAGAGCGAATTCACATTGGCACTGCTTTCCGATCAGTTTGTGTGAATCCTCGGGATTAGCACAAGCACACGATTATATAAAAAAAGCTGCCGCAGCCCAGAAAAAAGTGATTGATTTCGCGGTTTTTTCTTAGCATCGACGTCGACAGACCAAGTTCCACAAAAATGTATCCCAGTCATCCACGCACCAATTTTTCGATAACTTCTTTTTTGGACGGCTTGCAATTTGGCTTGCCACGAGCATTCAGTTTCGCTGGATACTTGCGTCGAACCGGGTTGCATTCCGTTGACCATTTCAAACAATTGGCAATGGCAGCTGTTGTGGCAAGCCCAAGACAGGAACACCAAGGGAAAGCAGGAGGAATGGAGGAAAAAACCGCGATTGAGGTTTAATTTAGAATGTACACAATGCTACTGTGGCGCGGAGGCATCGATTCCTCGGCCCTCTGTTGAACAAAAGTACACCCTCGGAATATTGATAAGCTCTGTCTAATTTGCGCCTGTCTTGGATAATCGGCGCAGGCCAGTGGGGACAACATTATGTTGTAAATTGATGCAACTGGACTTGTAACAATTTTTCCCACCTGCCAAAACTCGTGCAACATGACTTTCCTGGGATGACAAAAAATATTTGATCGTATTCCAAAACCAAGATGTTACGAACTTTTTGGGACAATCTAGCAATTTTACCTATTCAACGAACTATCTAAAGTTTCGTAACTTTTTTCGATTTCCAATCCTAACCGAGGATTTAATATTATTAAGTGATCTAATATAGGCCGGTTCCTGTATTTTACTTGAAATACTTTCACAGCTGATTCTTTCGGAATTTTTCCATATGCTCAGTAGGGTCGGAAATGTCTATTTTAGCGCATTGCAGGGACATAAGAAATTAAGCCAAATTTGGTATATAGTCACATCAGTCATCAGTAATCCACTTTATTAGCAAAACGATCCATGGCATGCGTAACACGTACAAACTTAAACCATAAATAATATTTTTTCTTGGCAGACGCTTTGCTTCTTTCCTTGCCCAGCCTTTCAGGCTTGACGTTTTCGGTTTGGCTGATTTTACCACTTTTTGTTGGCCATGACAAAACAATGTCAACTGTCTTTGGAAACACATGTAGACATAAACGTCAACTCAGGACAGTCTGCCAAGCAACGACTTTTGCGCCATGGCGATACTGTGTCCTTAATCGATTATCATTTTTAATAATCATATTCCGAGGCCCTTCAGGCAGCCTGACTCGAAGGAGCAGCGTCGTCTTCGAGTAGACAAGCTGTGCATGGGCAGCCTCTGAGTCGACGTCCACTAAACATTGACATTTATGAGCCGGAGCTCTGCGCACTAGGCCTTAACTCCAGGGCGCAAAGCTATTTTAATTGCAGAACAATCTGTTCGGACGGATAAGTTTGGAAGAGACCAAATTGAAATTCCATTTTGGGGTATTTGCTTTATCTAGTACATTTTGTGCATTTGCAAAGAGCTTTCATTTCAAGTAACATAGTTACGTGGCCAAAACGATTATATTTAGGGGCGTGGTTCCTCAGAGCGCTTCCAGGCACTTATAGCACGTTCCACTGCCGAACGGCCTTAAAAAACTCTTAATTAAACAAAATATAACTTGTATAAATATGGAGCTTACCTCGATGCCTTTTTAAAACTTGGCTGCCTTCCATTACAACTTCCCAAAGCTTGATGTCTCCACGGATATTTACAATGTTCACACAATCTGGCTTCATTTGATACTTAAAATTAAATAAGGACTTATTGTTAACAAAAAGTTCGTAATAACTATCTCTACACACAATAACTATGACAAAGGCGCCGCCAGGTCTTAGGCTTGTATTTAGACGCGACGCGGTGCAGTTGACCCACTTACCATTTAAATAGGCGCGTCGTGAAATTATAACCTTACCGATTTTGTCATTTCTGCTCCGCAAGAAGCAGGGGCTGAAATAAAAGGACACTGTGGGTTGCGGCCAGATTTCCTGACCTTTCTGGATCGCTATACTGAATCTTTGGGGCATTAACCGAACGCGACCTTCGATCCGAAGGGCCCGACCTTCAATAAGGTTCTTATCTTTCCCCAGCTTTCCATAGAAGGGAAGGGGCAGGCTGGGCTGGTACAGGTATTTCTTGGATGACATTTTTGCAAGAGAAGATAATACCTTCCAAGCGTTTTCCAGGTTATCGCCATCCTCAAGAAATTTTGTTACAGCCGTATCGTATAAAAGTGGAATAGGTCGTGGCAATGAGTGCGTTAAACGTATAGGATACTCTGAGACGTAATATGTATCGATTACAATATTAGCGACATCGCCTAGTACGTCCACAGCTTCGAGCCACCGATATGGCATACGGTGAAGATATTTTGCAAAGTGAAAACCGTTCACTGAAATCAAGAAACCCTCCTCAGTTAGCAATATTTGCATCCAAAAAGACTGTCCGCGGGTCAGTTGAAAAGATAGATAAGAGGAATTCTCCTCGGGACCCCACTTTCCCTTAAGGCGTGAATTGCGCGTAATATAGTTCTGAGGGAGTCGCGACCCTACTTGCAGGAGCACATCGCAGTCCTCGCTCATTTCGCTCCCTTCTTTTGTAAGAAAATCAATGACAAAATGTTCACATGCATTGAGAATCATTCCGTGAAAGACGAAACACAGCCCAGGCCTCGGGCATTGGAGCACTTTAAAGTGTTTGCGTCGGTGTGCCGAAGAGCGGTCTTCATAGAACAACGACATATCATCCAAGACCCGCCGTAGAGCCACTGTCCCAGCTCCAGGATAAACGCTCATAAACTTTCTCTCCATGTTCATAGTCAATCCGTACGTTGAAAACCAGGATTTTGGGTTTTAAATAGTATTAACAAAATATAAACGAATTGAAGGTACTCCGATTTTGACGAAATAGAAAACGACACTAATATCCGAACGTTCAAAATTTATACATCCCTATTTTTTCCCAGCCAAATATCATTTACAATAAGGAAAATCGGACATTGTCCTTCTTTAATTGTTACAAAAAATATATTACATCACTTAGAAAAGATTAATAGTAAAACAGCTGCATATTTCTTTTATATTGTCTTATTGTTTCTTACTTATATAATAAAATAAAAATACAATAACATTTAAGCTAGTTGAAGAAGCCCAGCTACAAAATACTACTAATTATCATCATACAAACATGGGTTGTGATAGGCGCGTACATTCCTGCCCTTTATCATAGGGTTGTGTTCCAGCGTTACGTTCCACAGCTTAACATCTCCTTGTATGTAGACGGTGTCGACCAGTGCAGGGCTAACCTTGTATTTAAAATCCGTCATAAATTGCCGATTGACGTACACCTCATAGGCGGTTTTGGTGCAAACGATCGCCAAACTAAAAGTTCGACCCGGACGGAAGTTTGTGTCGAACTCAGAACGCTCCTCTTGTGCCCAAGCCCCATCAAACCAGGCATTACGACACACGACCGCCTTTCCGATGGCGCCGCTGCTAGCTTTTGAGAAACGGGGGTTTAGGTGGAATGCTATGACTGGATGTGGCCAAATGTCCTGCCCCTTTTGTAGGTTTATGTAAAACGAGTGCGGTAGCAGTCGTACACGCCCTTCAATCTTCAAGTATCGACCTTCGACCAACGATCTTGGAGGCAGTGCCCCATAATAAGGTAAGGTAAGACCGAGATCATTTGAATCGTGTGAACTCTTTGGTGAACTGTCCGACTGTGTAATCGGCGCGCTAATAAGGCACCACTCGTGAGGTATTTTAACAGCCTCCTCGACTACGGAGTCAATTTCATCAAACTGATCATTTATGTTAAGCTCTATGTTTTTTGCTTCTGATTCGGGAAGTCGCTGAGGATAGTTTAAGACCAAAGTTCGATGCATTTCGACGTTACTCACGTCGCCTTTGACTTCTAGGATGCGGACATCTTTGTAAGGAATCCGGTGAGTGTACTTTGCAAAGTGCTGACCGTTTACCGATATCATGTAGCACGCGTCAGTAACGAGCACTTGAATAGAAAACTTCTCCCCGCGACTAAGAAGGAAGGGTAACGCCGAGGAAACTTCCTCGCTGCCCCATAAGTCCTGTACTTTGGTATTACGAACGATGTAGTTTTGAGGCAGCCGAGGATTAATGTGAAGAGCCACGTCACGCGATTCGTTGTTATAAACAAGATTGATGGAGAATCTGAGGAAGGTAAAAAAGGTTATATATTTATAGGCTTAGGAAGGTGGCCTCGTATATTTAGCTTACCTCTCGCAGTTCACTGCCAAATTGCCGGTAACGGTAAAACTGATTCCTTCGTCCAATTGGCCAATTTCGTCGTTGTAGTACTTTGGCACTGCATCTGCGTATTCATAAAATGAAGCCTACAAAAAACGATAGATGGAAAAACTTTAACACTACACTTGATGTATATTACAATACTGGATGTTTGTTTAGGAAGTTCTTGGTAAATATCAAGAAAGGACAACATTTTCTAGTTCCGATAAGTGTAAAATAAAGCAAACATTCCTGGCCTACTGAAATAAAGGCTACCACCCTTATATGGTGCATCAGTATGGATTGGGTGCGCGCACCTTCCTTAAATTTTCTATGTGGCAATGAAGTTTTTTTTAACACAAGCCAACTTTTTGTATTGTGCCGTTTGAACTGTGTGATAGCTGTATTTTATAAATCCCCTAGCCGAACAAAGCCTTCGCCGAAATGTTAACTGCTTACCTCATTCAAACCACCCTTTTTCGCCTTGGTACAACAGCAAAGCAATTTTTCACACATCATTCTAAGACACATTTTACGTCTAAGGGACACTCTCAGTCCTAGAAATCAAGGATTCAAATATACACTTATTTTAAACATTGTAATTTTTTAAATTTTAAGTGGCTTTGTATTTTTAGTTGAACAATTCACTCGCTAACAGTCCTCCAAATTGGTTGAATAGAGTTTCCTGCCAATTGGGCCGTTGTTATTATTTGTTCGTTTGTTTCCGCTTCGCGAATGAGTCGTACCAAGAGAATAAAAACTACACCGCTATGACAACGCGAAAAAGCTTTTTAAACTTGTTCAACAAAAGGCACTGTATACTGAATACTTAAAGATGCACAAGCAATTATTTACACTGCGAGTAAGCTGCTGATTAAGCTTGTGTCAGAAGTTTGTCGTCCAATATGAGAATGCCAATAACTATAGATAATTACAAGAACCTTGCCTCGACTGAGAACAATATAAAGCAAAGTTTGTGCTCCACCTTTTTGAACCACCACTGTGGTTAACAGCTGGTAAAAGCTCCCGAACCAAGCGAATGGGGGGATGACAGTGGAGCACGCTAAACGTCAGAGCAAAGACACAGAAAGAGAGGAGCAGGCACACAATAGATATGTATATATAAGAATTCACACATTCAGTATAAACATACTACTGAAATCTGGGCGATAACGCTGGAGTTTTCTGGTTACGTACTTTAAACTCATTTCCATCCACCACCTCAATGTCGCTGAAGCTATGTAAAGGTACTAGGTGCTGGCTCTCAGCTTGCTGAAACCTTAGGTGAAGATCCTTCCTTGTCTCGTCCATACTGCAATCTGCACCCGCCTCAATGGCTGCAAAATCGATGTCTGTCCTCCTTTGCATAGTGTCAGGTTCAACCATGGACTGACGCAACCAAAACTGGCGGCAATGAAATCTAAACAGTTGCAACCGGCGCTTGCTACGGTAATAAATTAGGCTTCGTTCGATATTAAAGCCGTTTTGCCACAGCGCATCTGTCAGATTGACGAGTTCGCGAACCGAGTGGCAGGCCAGAAGTAATATTGCCGTCATACTAACAAAAAAAACATGGGGTTAGCGATTTTACGCGATGCAGATGCGAATTCTGGGACAGCTTACGCTCTTCTCAAGCTCTCCAGCTCTCTCACTCTCTTTTGGTTGATGTACTGTCAGTGGGGCTATTTAATATAGTCAGCTGCTTATGGCTATTGCGTTTTTTTATACCTCGACTATTCCTAAATAGTTTTTATGCTGGTCTGACCGGGGCCACGAATAGCTCAATACTTTTTATCGACCCCAAAATAGCTTTTACGATTCTGATAACGTGCGTTGTCCACGCATACATACATGCATGGCGCATGGGTGGGGGTGCTTATACATATACGTATAATACACATGGGGCTTTTCGAAATATGCGTCTATGTCTGTACAGGCGTTGTCTTTCACAAGTTGCCATAACAGATCTGGGGCTTTTTGTCAAAAATGAATTTATATTTTCAGTAATTTTAACTTACATCCTTATTGATAAACCGCAGATACTCTTCATCCTCGCTTCGCTTTCGTTTTCCACAGCAGCAACTCATCTTGTTCTCTAAAACAAATATGTCTCAGGAGAACAAAAATATAAACTATTTTAAGTTTTTTAATGTTGTTCACTGGTTAAAATCGCTTCACTATCACAAGTTGGTTGCTTAATTTTAATTTTAATCTACGATTTCACGAAATTTAATGGCAAAACGTTCTTTGATCTGTTGAATATAATATAATTTAGCTAAAAATATTTTGCTTGCTCAATTTCAGCAACCGCTAGCCGTCGCACGGCTTTTTGAACTGAAACTTTGCTTTGCAAATATTTATCAAGTGACTCGGTTGACTCAGACACTGCGGTGTCGGTTGAGTAATTTTGTAGAGACACATTCCTATGTACATGATCGGTTGTTTAATCTATGCTCTGGGATATCAGAAAAAATTAACTTTTAATAGCCGTTACAAAAAGCAGTTTAATTTATTGGTAAATGTTTAAGAAAAGAAAGAAAAAATTTCTGTTTTTAATGTTTTTTTCTCATTTCACATAAGTTTGTTTAAGTCAGAGAACTGTTCGAATTGTTGGTGAACATTAATGACAATAATAATTTATATTTACATATGTACTTGATAAACATAATGTATATTTCCTTTTAGCATTCATAGCATCTGGTTTGTAAACAATGTTGTTTTTGCAATTAAATATAATTATAAAAAGACCTAAAGGTTTAAAGACCAAAATTTCTTTTCAATTTAACACTTCGAAGTTTTTTTTTTATGTATACATCAAAAGATCAAGAAGCCCTTTAGTGCTTATTAATTCTTCAATATGTTTACAGTTGAGAGTATACTTTAAGTTGTATCGTTTTCAAATAGTTTTACTACTCATTAGTCAAAACGTTGGGTTGTGAGCTCTAGACTTTTACAATATACTAATACTAATTAGTAGTATATCTTAACAATTTTTTTTCATTTGCATGTACATTGTACACAGTTCAGTTTTTACAACGGGAGGAGCTATTTTTAAATTTGCTTAAAATAAATCTGCAAAAAATCAGCTTGTGTTTGGTAGAACAACATCTTAACGCTGCCGCGTCGAGCGTGTACCCATGGCATGCTGTGATTTAGCAGAAGGTCCTTTATAGTATTTCGATAATGTCTTGCTAGTGCGAGTCGGGCGATTGCTGCTGTTGCCATTCCGCCCTGCAGCCTTTTCTGCATCTGTTTTCAATGGCAAGTCATCGTCTTCATCCCATCGAATGTTTTTTTTTTCTTCATCGCCAGAATCCTCGGCCGTGGCGTCTGTCTTGGATTTACGACTTCGGCGATTTCTTGACGAAGAAGAACTAACATCAGTCCGCTCCGACGTTTCCCTGAATATTTGTTAATAATTTATAAGATATATGATATTTCAAACAAAAATATGTGAAACTCACTCTTTAACGGAAACTTTGCTTTCTTCCCCGGAATTTTGGCCACGATTCAGCAGGGCAAGTTCTCGCTCAGCAATGGCTTTTTTATGCTCGTCTGCTGATTCAGCCGAGTTGATCTTTGTTGTTGAGTCTGCCAGTTGCTTTACAGGTTCTTCTTGCTTGCCTCGCTTCAGCTGCTTTTGTTGCTCCTGGGCCTGCTTTATAGATCGTTTTAAAGCGCTTCTTAGGGTGTCCCGCGAACTCTCGGGCGCTATGTCCTTTCCTAACTGAGGAAGGCCGATTGCCTCCAAAAGCTTTTGTCCTAGCACTGCCTTGACTTCTGACTTTCGTGAGACCGCCCCAGCTTTGCTATTTTCAGTATCCTCGCTGGCCTCGTTCTCTGCGCCTGACTCAATGATTACAGAATGATCTTCTGCACTCGTAGACATCACGTTGGATTCGTTTGCATTTTCCAATACGGTACTTGTAGGTGCCTGGGACGGCTCACCTGCAGGTTTTACCTTAACTGTCGATTCATCCTCAATTTCAATTTTTTTCAATTGCCTTGGCACAGCTGACTCTTTCGAAGAGCACTGATCTTTTGTATTCTTTAGAGTTTGAGGTTTTTCTGGATTAGAATCTACTACTGTGGAAGGCTTTGAAGATTGAATAACAGTCTTACGCCTTTTAACAATTGGACGGGTTACGTCAGCAGGTGTTGATCGGGCTTGCGGAAAAAAGCTGACGCTTTCAGAGTATTCTTCAGCTGAAGGTTCGGCCTCTAATGGCGGCTGTGGTTCGACCAGTACAATATCTTCCAAATTAACTAAGCTGCCACTACGACGCCGGCTAGTGTGGCGCTGATCTTTCGGTACTTTTTGGTGCTGGTTAAGAAGAGAGATAAGCGCTTCGTTCAGCGCATCGGCTGGATTTGATCCGAATTGTGAAATAAGCTTTGCGTTAATATTAGATAGTTCATTACTAATATGCACTGCATTTGAAGCTGAAACCGTCGTTATCGTGCCCGACTTGTCTCCAATAGGCAAGTCGTGGGAACGCATCATTCGTGTGGGACGTTTTACTGAAACGCCGATCGCCTTTGTGTGCCGCAGTGGCGGCATTTCTTGCTCTGTGGGACTAGAAGGCACTAACTGAACCGACGTCTCTGGCGGCAGTTTGTAAGGCATTGTACTTGATAAGTCAGACAGGTTTAGTACATCCTGCGTAACTTGCACAGAAGTGGTCATGTTTGTAGAAGCGATAGCTGATGATACCGGTAGCTGATCTTGTTGCTGAACAACCGACAGCATTGGGGCTAAGTATGGGCCTAAAAGCTGGGTGAGATCTGTGTCTTGTAGGAGGTTATTATCCGACATAATAACAGCAAACTTGGAACTTTTTAACCGTGTCATTTGCTCTTCGCAATTTTCTGTTGTAACTGACCACTTGAGTGCCTTTAGAATGAGCATCAATAAGTCTGGATCTCTTATAACGCTTCCCAAAGAGATTGCATCAGTAAGGTTTCTTACGTTGGGCGCCGATTTAGATGCGGATGAAGCTGGCGGATCAACCGTCGAAAGTAAGTCCAGAGTGGCAGACATTACCTTGGATTTACTTGGTGCGTATTTTTTTAATTTCGGTGGATCCGTCTGAGGACTCAGTTCATCCTCCCTTTTCTTTTTTGGCGCCGCAAAAATCATGTGCTCCGGCAGAGCTTCTTCCACCGAAGGCTCCCCTCCATATTGGGGCACTAAAGTAGTAGTAACAAGTGGTCTTATACCATCAGCTGGTTTTTGAACTTGCGCCGACTTAAGCAGTGATACCTGTCCGCTCCGCATGGCCTTAATATTGTTCAGAGTGTTTTTGAGATTTCTGCTTTTCTGCTGAAACAAATTTTTAGGTAGATTAGGCATTCCTGCGTTGCTGGCGGTAAGAGTTAATGGCATTGAAGCTGTGTTTCTTATGTCCTTCCGACTGTTGATATTGGCCTTCCTCTCTTTACCGGACACGGGCACATTGCCTGTAATGCGACCATGGGTTTGGATAAAGTTTATTACTCCTCCTGGCCCCAGTTTTGTGTCTGGGTTCTTCTTGGGTGCACTTGAAGCCGATGGCTCGAAATTCAGAGGAACCAAAGAGGGAAGATGCTGCATGGAGCGCTGTGCTATAGACATGGGGGCTGATCCACAGAAGCTATCCATAAACACGCTGTTGCGTCGCGCCGGCACTATATTCTTTCCTGTTTTGGGAACATTGCCAGTGCCAGAGGATGGTAATGAAGCAGACAGAGGGCTTCCCCGACAAGACTCCAAATTTACCTCTCTGGCTTTCTGGCCCTCCTGGGGCCTGGACAATGTAGTGGTTGTTTCCGGAGCACGGGTCAGCATAATAGGACGGAATTCATCGGGCTGCCGCTGGTTTCCTTCGCTTTGGGCAGAAATCTGGGACGCTGGTGGAACGTTCAGCCGCGCGGCAGCTGCCTCGCGGTCATTCTTCGGCTGAAAATATGGGTCGATTAGGAACATAAGTACTTAAAACCCGAGGAGATCAAGACAGCTTACTAGTGTGCTAAGTAAAAAGTCCCGAAACACGAGCTGAGTGTGTTTAGCTATATTTGAGAGCGATGCCGTGGCCTCAACCTGCCGATAACAGGACTTGCATAGCACTTTGGGCAGTGGATCATCTTCAGCCACCTAAAAATGATTAAATTAAGAAACATTCCATTGTGAACTGCGAGTCAGCTGTTGCTTTGTTGACTTGATGTATGTTTTTAAAATTCGCGCTCAGTGGTGACCTCCAGGGATGGCGCATAACATTACCGGTATTTTTTGAGTTTCCGTACTAAATATTCCGTAGCGCGATATAACTGCCTCATGTTAATCCTCTATATTTACTTACATTTAAGTATAGGTGCCGCGATATTTTATCCTTCAGACCTTGTGTCTTGAATATGAACACACTCTCGGTAACAGAGTTAGTTTTGCTTTTCGTATTGGCCGCGCAAATGCGGCACAAGTGCTCAAACTGAGCATCCATATTCACAATTTCACGACGAGTTTACACACACTGCCATTTGTAATGTGGCTTGCCTTGCACTCCACTTCGTTTTCGTAAATGTACACTTGCAGTTTGGGAAAGTCGTCTGAGAGCAAAATGGCAAAACAAATGACAGAGTAAAAAACAAATAATAACAAACTGTAACTGTATGGAACGTTGAAAGTGAAGAGCGCAAGTCCGCATCGGAGAGAGAGAGGAGCAAACTGATCTTGCTCTCAACTCACATTTCGCTTTCTTCTTTTTGCGTTGTCCGCACTCGTTATGCTATGTTTTTGGGAAAAATATATTTTTCTCCCGAGTTCTTTGTTAAAATTATTTCGCGGCGTAACTTGTTTATGAAGAACGCCTCCCACTTGCTCTCCGGGGGTAATGCAGTAGTTTCATTCACTTGAAAAATACTTCTGCCACGCCGATTTCACCAGGGTTCACTTGCGTGTCGACGAGAAACCGAAATAAAACTGAGCGAAATAAACGTTGCTGCTGTTTGCCATTACATTCACCACCACCTATACCAGTGCAATTGCACACGCACACAACCAACCGCTTACGTACTCTTCCTCTTCGTCTGCTCTCGCCTACGTTGTTCGTTGATGAAAGTAATGGTGTGTGCGTGCGGCCTGGCTGTTGCTTATACTCACACATACAAACACCATTTTCGTATCTGTTTTTTTAGAGCTGTGGTGCAAGTGTGTGTGAGTGCCTGGCCTTCCGTCTGTTTCGTGTCGCACAGCCAGTTTTCCGCTCTATCCATGTGCCCTCAATGGTGCACTTGTATTTGGACGAGTTTTCTTTTTAGCATGTTTTTCTTTTGGCCCGGACAAATAAAAACATTTGAGAAAGTTTTGTAGTGCAACGGTTTGAGCTGCAATATAACATTTTGCATTAATCGAGCCTAGGAGGAGCGGGCGGACTCGTACACCACCAGTTGATCACAAGTTGATAGGTAACACGACTGTAATCGCCAAGATCAGAATTAATGGGCACTAAACAGTCGATTTATTTGAAAGTCGATTCGTTTGCCAGTGTTGGTGCCGCTGACTGCTTGCTTGTGTGTGAGTGACTTAGTACGCATTTGTGCTTGTTCCTCTTCTATTCTCTATTCTTGCTATTTTTTTATGTTATCATGCTTTCTAATATGAGAAATACCGAAAAACTTTGTATGCAGGCGCACCAAAAAAAAAAAAAACAATAAGGAAAACTGGGAATTACCCATTTTTTTTTTCCAACAAAGCAATTTTAAGACATCTTTCGGTCACACTGTAGACCTAGCCATTTTAGATAACGGTTCCAAAGATGGGACAGCAAAGCATCTTTATTTGACTTAAAACAAATAAGTAGGCAAACGTTTTGTTAATTGTTTCATATTAATGTTTCTGAATATATACTGCGTTCGACTCAAATGTTTGTAATTAGTGTAACTCAAAACCATAGACTTTTTACAACTACCCAACCTCCTATAATTGTAGTTTTCTAGTGTTCATAAGTAGCTAAACATAGATACAACTCTCCTTCTTTATAAAACAGGCTTTGTACTTCTGTATGAAATATACTTACCGAAGTTTTGTATGTATTCATTCGCCGTATGGTATGCAATGAATTTTTGTAAACGGGTAACTTCCGCGTTTCAATTGGCAGACATTAATAAATGCCGTACACGTGTACCTATATTCAAATAAATTTTCAACATAGCAAACACGAGTTTCCAAATTGGTCAAAGAAAAAACCTACCACAGCTGTATTGAAAACCTTTTAAACTTATTATGTATACAGCCTGTATGTGGCCCCCTGATTATGGCAACGTCTTTGTTATTTTAAGGGGGTTGTGCATATGTGTGGGTGAAATTCATTTAAAACAGGAGTATATTTAGTTTTAAGCATTTTTTTATATGCAGCATACGAACAGGCCAATGCCGCTAATGAAATAAAGATGCAAGCTTTCATTGTAGTCAAGCATACGTTTAGGCTGAAAGATTCGGTTAGCTACGAGTTTAAAATAACTAACACATATCTTTTGTTTTGAAGTTTTTATACTTTATAATTTATTTAGAAGCTTGAAACGCAGTGAAGGAAACACCCCCGACCACACACGGTACATATATATGTTCATCATCAGCGGTGTAACTTTTTCATATATGTAGAAGGGACTTAACACTTACATATATTATGAGGTGTATCATAAACTAAAGTGTATGTTTACTTTAAAATAGCTCCAGATTTATTGTGTTTATAGGGTACCAGTAGAGGTAACCAATAAAATCTTTAGACGGGAAAATATGTTTGTGTAATTTGTGTAAAATAGTTAGAAATGCATAGACATTTTGAATTTTAATCTTGGGTCTGTGGAGCTTTCAAGAGCTGAGTTCTCGCCATCGCGAAGCATTCAACAACTTCAATTGGAAGTTGGGTGCGGGTAGCACATTGTGAAAAATGTTTTGCATAGGCTGTTTGAATTGAAAAGGAATTGAAATTAAATTTGGTCAGGCAGGGGCCGCACCTTCAGTATCTCAAAGTTGGTTTGTCATATTGTACTTGAATTGAATTATAAACCCAAAACAATTGCACTCAATTTGATAGGATCAAAAATCTTGAATTTGGTGTATGCGCGCTCTTAACTTTGTGCTGTTTGGGTGGGGCAGAGGATGGCTGGTATGGGTTTTTTAAGACAAGTCATTAAAGAACACGCCTATTCGTTATTACAGAATGCTCTTCCACGGATTAAATGTCAAGTTGGAAAGGCTTAACCAAATGAACAGGTAGATATTAGTTGCCAATTAAGAGCATCATTCCACAGTGTATTTATTTAACTATGATTCCAATATCCCGACTTCGATTTCTAACATTGTCGACAATCGTAATTGCATCGAACTTTAGTTGTATAGATGTTAATTAATCTGCTTAAAAGCTGTTCACCCGAAATCCATGACCAGTTTGATATGTATCCCTCTACCTCTCTGTTATGAACCAGCCTGAGGTGGATACTGGCCTGGTCTTGCCTCCACGAGTTTGTTTGTGGATCGTGTACTGCCTTTCGCGCCTTTTGTCGCCGTTTTTACGAATTTGCTCTGAATGTAGTGCATTGGCCGCCTCAAAGCATTGGGGAGTTGGCTCTAGTCGTATCCTAACCGTCGGGGTGCGGCTCAAACGAGTATTTTTTAAGTTTATTTAAACACTCTTGATTCGAAGGATAAGCCATAATATCGTCTCAGTTAGCTCTGATATAACAACTAACTGACTTTTGTTTAATTTTATTGTTTTCTCTGTAGTTGCAATTCACCAATAGAGAAAGGAGATCTGTGGACTTTATGGCACCCTGACCTCATAAAGTGCTCCCAGTTAAATAAAAGCAATTGGGTATTACCTCACAGAAAGCCCCAAAACACTCAGGCAATTTGATTTACAATTTGTTACAGTTACAGTTCAAGCGGTGAAGTGAGACTCAAACGCAGCTGAATGAACGGACCTACAATGAAAGTAATAGTTGTGTCATTCGCCATGCGGACTTAGTTGTCCCAGAATGCAGAGCGCCGATCTCACAATTGTGGGCGGGTCGGGATAATGACGAAACAACGTACAGAGCGCCTGGCTAATGTGCATTCGTTATACTCAGAAGGCACGAGCTCGTCGATTTTGTAATACACAGACATCTGGAAGGCCCCCCGCGTTGTGTTGCGTTGAAAAAGCAATACTAATTGCCCACTGAAATATCCGAACTCCACATAACTTTCTTCTTGGCCAGGCTGAATTTGGAGCTTCTTTTAGAGGCAAGACTTGAACTAGATGGACCAGCGCAGCGATACCCGATTACTCGACGTGTTGCCTTTTCCTTTAGGAGGAAGTACTCGTAAGAGTTACCGCAAAGGCTCTGGCAAGAACAAGTTATTCACGTCTCTTCCGCATTGCAACGTCTCGGGCGGAACCAAGTCCTCACTGGTGGCGATTTCTAGATTGGTAACAGTCTTGCCGACGGAACGACCTTGAGGTAATACACTTTAGCGTGTTGAAATTGAAGTGGTATTGGCGCTGCTAAAGGGAGGTGTAGTTGAATACTGCTACAGATTGTCATTTAAATCCGGTTTATTCAACCTACGGCGCTGGTCGTTGTTTCTTAGCGTGACAATATTATTTAATTGGCTATGAGCTTCGGACAGAGTGGCCTCATTTCAAATGACTTTTAAATCCTGTATCAATATAAAACTGGAACGTAGCAAGACAACTATTACACTTACAATTATTACAATCACGATTGGTATACGGTCGCATGCTCTAAGAATGATGGAAAATATTATTTTGGTTATCTAACTATCTAACTTAAAAATACATCGTTTTTATTAGCAACGAGCGAAATTTTGGCTTTTCAAAGGCAAACCATTTGTTAAGTAATTTCATAGTTCCTGAATGCAAGACTTTTGACTTGCTACGATTTAAGGCGTGGTCAGCGGGACGGGTAATAGCAACTTAGCTGTGGTTCTCGTCGCCGTCTACATTTACTCAGAGCTTGCTCTATACAATTCATTTTATTCGATGTAGCCTCCAACCATTTTCCATAGTCGACGAGCCACACCCCTGTTCCTCAATCTACAGTACTGCTTTTTTCACGCCAAGTGGAAAGGTCAGCCAGCTACCACTAGAAACCATTGTTAATATGTGCTTTTCGCGAATTTAATGTATAGTTGGTCTATTTAAGTTTACAGCTCAGCCCCATAAAGTATATATATTCTTGGTCAGCACCACGATCTGATTCAAAATAGACAGACGTGTACGTCTGTCCCTCTGTCTGATTCTATTCAGAACTAGTCTCTCACTAGTCTCTTAGATTTAAGGCTTATACTTTACTTTAGTTATTGCACATAATGTATAAGTCGGAACCGGGAACGGAACGATTTTTTCAATTTTCATGATGAAACCCTTTCCAAATTTACAGGGCCGGAGAAACAGTTTTGAGTGGGGTGATGACCTCACAAATTTTCAATATTTTTAATTTTAGTTTTGAAGCCGAGGGAAAAAGTTTTTTTTTACTTTTTTGTTTAAAATGGCCCTTTTCAATAAATACCGAATGAGTTGAGAAAAGTATGGTATCATTCAAACGGCATTTGAATTACCTTTCCATTGATACCAAAAGTTAAAAGAAGCAAGTTCAAGTTTCGAGAATAGTTCACTTTTATTTTGTCAAAATATATATGCCGACCAGTGTATGATGGATCCTGAATTGAACAGAATATATTTTTAAAAAATAATAAAAATGCAACAGGTAAAAAAAACTATTTTAAATGTAAAATGTTAATTAAAATCCATTTAATATTAATATAATGTTAATTTAATGTTAAAATAATGTTAATTTAATATAATGTAAATGTAATGTTAACTAAATGTTAATTAAATTAATATGGCCACGTCAGCGACAATGATAATTAATTATTTTTTTCGTTTTCTTGCACCTATAATTCCCAAGTGGTTCTGGCTGATT